TCCAGGTCCATCCATACTGTAGCAAAAAGTCAGATACCCTTTTTTATAGCTGAGTAGTAGTTTATTGTGTAAATGTACCACAGGTTTTTGTAATCTACTCATTTATTGATGGGCACTAGGGCTGCATCCAAATCTTGGCTATTGTAAATAATGCTGCAATAAACATAGGAGTGCATAATATTCTTTTGAATCAGTGTTTGAGTTAACTTCAGCTGAATTCCCAGAAGTGAAATCTGGGTCATAAGGCAGTTCCATTTTTTAATTATTTGAGGAAACTCCATACTGTTTTTCCACAGTGACAGCACCAGTCTGCATTCCAGCCAATAGTGTACGAGGGTTCCCTTTTCTCCACACCCTTGCCAGCACTTGATGTATTGACAACAGCCATTCTGACAGGTGTGAAGTGATACTTTATTGTGGTTTTAATTTTCATTTCTCTTGATGATTAGTGATGGTCAGCATCTTTTCAGGTCTATTGGCGTTCTGTATGTCCTCTCTGAAAAAGCGTTTATTCAAGACCTTTGCCAGTTTTTTAATTGGATTGTTGAGTTATCTAAGGTCTTTAAAAGTTTTGAATAGTATCCCTTATTAGATGTACCATTGGCAAATATGTTCTTTCATTCTATAGGCTGTCTTTTCATTTTGTTGATGGTTTCCTTTGCTGTGCAAAAATTTTTTAATTTGAGGTAGTCCAATTTATTTTTTTTGTTTCCCTTGCCCAAGGAGATATATCAGGAAACAAGTATTGTTATATTGCTACAAGAAATAGCTGATATTTTACTGCTTGTTTTCTTCTAGGATTTTTATGATTTCATGACATATTTAAGTCTTTAATCCATTTTGAGCTTATTTTGTGTAAGTTCATGGTCTGTTTATTTATTTTTGCATGTATCTGTCCAATTTTCCCAGCACCAGTTATTGAAGAGACTGTCTTTACCCCATTGTATGTTCTTGCCTCTTCTGTTGAATGTTAATTGACCATAAAGGTGTGGGTTGGTTTGTGGGCTCTCTATTCTGGTCCACTGTTCTATATGTTTTTATGGCAGTACCATGCTGTTTTCATTACTATGTCATTGTAGTATAGTTTGCTTTCAGGTAGCATGATTCCTCCGACTTTGTTCTTTCTCAAGATTGTTGCTATTCAGGGCCATTTGTGATTGCATATACATTTTTGGAATATTCTAGTTCTGTGAAATACACCATTGATATCTTGACAGGAATTGCATTGAATCTGTAGATTGCTTTGGGTAGTATAAACATTTTAATGATGTTAATTCTACCAATCCATGAACATAAGTATGTGCTTCCACATCTTTGTATCTTCTTTAATTTCTTTTTTTGCTGTCTTATAATTTTCAGAGTACAAGTCTTTTACATCCCTGGTTAAATTCCTAGGTCCATTTTTTTTGGTATGCAATTTTAAATGGAATTATTTTCCTCTCTCTCCCTCTCCCCCCCCCCACCCCCATCAGTGTGCAAGAGAAACATTGATCAGTTGCCTCTCGCATGCCCCCAAATGGGGACCTGGCCCACAACCCAGGCATGTGCCTTGACTGGGAATCAAACCTGTGACCTTTTGGTTTGCAGAATGATGCCCAACCCACTGAATCGCACCAATCAGGGCAATGAGATTATTTAGTTTTCCTTCTGATAGTTCATTATTGGTGTAGAAAATGCAACCAATTTCTGTATATTTATTTTGTATGCTGTTACTTTACTGAATTCATTTATCAGTTCTAGTAGGTTTCTTTTTCTTTTGGTGTAATTTTTAAGGTTCTCTGTGTATAATGAGTTTTTTATCTGCATCTGCAAATAATGAGTTTTACCTCTTCTGCAAATAATGCAAATAATGAGTTTTACTTCTTCATTTCCTATTTAGATATTTTTATTTCTTCTTTTTGTCTAATTGCTCTGGCTAGGACTTCTAGTACTACGCTAAATAAAAGTGTGAAAGTGGACGTTCCTATCTTGTTCCTGATCTTAAGGAAAATGCTTTTGGTTTTTGCCCATTGAGCAAGATGTTGATTGTGGGTTTGTCACATACGGCCTTTATGATATTGAGATACGTTCCCTCTATCCCCACTTTGCTGAAAGTTTTTATCATAAATCGGTGCTAGATTTTATCAAATGCTTTTTCTGCATCTTTGATAGGGAAGTACTACCATTTTATTCTTTTAACTATTTTCCTCTGCTTTTTTTTTCTTTTCCTTTTACTTAAAGAAGACACTTTAACATTTTGTGTAATACTGTTTTGGTGGTAACAAACTCCTTTAGCTTTTTTTTGTCTGGGAAACTTTATTTATCTGTCCATTTTAAATGATAGCCTTGCTAGGAAAATTAGTCTCAGTTGTAGGTCTTTGCTTTTTATCACTATGAATATTTCATGCCAGTCTCTTCTGGCCTGAAATATTTCTGTTGAGAAATCAGCTGACAGTCTTATGAGAGCTCCCATGTAGGGAACTGTTCCTTGCTGCTTTTAAGATTCTCTTGGTCTTTTACCTTCGCCATTTTAATTATGATGTGTCTTGGTGTGAGCCTCTTTGGTTTCATCTTGTTTGAGACTCTCTGGACTTTCTGGACTTGTGTGTCTTTTTCCTTCACCAGATTAGGAAAGTTTTCAGTTATTATTTCTTCAAATACATTCTTGTTCCCTTGCTCTCTCTCCCTTCTTCTTCTGGTACTTAATGGCCATTTTATTTTTTATAACTATGATACGGATGTTGTTAGGCTTTATGTTGTCCCAAAGTTCCCCTAAACTGTTTAAGGGAACTCAATTTTTAAAATTATTTTTTCTTTTTGTTGCTCTGATTGGGCATTTTCTCCTACCTTGTCTTCCAAATCACTGATTTGATCCTCTGCTTCATCCAACCTGATTATTCCTTCTAGTGTGTTCACTACAGATATTGTATTTTTCATTTCTGACTGGTTCTTTTTTTATGGTTTCTGTGCCAGTTTTTCACACTTGTAGTTCCCACTAAGTTCCTTGAGCATTCTTATAATCATTATTTTAAACTCTGTATCTGGTAAATTGCTTACCTCCATGTCATTCAGCTCTTTTTCTGGAGATTTCTCCTTTTTCATTTGGGGCTTGTTTCTTGTCCCCCCCATTTTGGCTGCCTCTTTTTGTTTGTTTCATAGGCAGATCTCCTATGTCTCCCATTCTTCGGAGGGTAGCCTTACATAGTAGGTGTCCTGTGAGATCCAGTAGCAAGTCTCCTTTATAACCTGAGCTGCATGCTCCAGGAATGTTCCACGTGTGGGTTACGTGAGCCCTCCTGTTGTAATTGAGTCATGATTGCGATTGACCCATTTGTGCATGTGTTCGACCATCAGGCTGGCTGACTGTAAGGGTACCTTCACCACAATGTACAAGCTGTTACGTAGGTGCTGACCACACTAAGCAGAATTCACCTTAGCAGAGTGTGGTGCCTGCTGAGATCTCCCTTTAGATATGCCACTTGTGAAGCTAATTGGATCCTGCTCTGATGCTGTATGAAGCTGGCCACTGGTTCTGGAACCTCTTGGGAGGGACTCTGGTGCAGATCAATGTTAGACCCTGCCCATGACGGGCCCTGGGCAGCCTGTTTGGCACTATAAAGTGATCCACAGTTTATGGCTGCTTCTGCTGGGCCTGAGTGTGCATGGGAAGGACCAAGCTGTGCACAAAGGCTGGCTTCCGCCAGTTCTGAGTCCAGGGGCAGGTCAGCAAAAGGCCCAAAGCACCCCAAGAACCACCTCCACCCGTCTCTGGCTGCGAGTTGCCTGTTAGGCTCAGTCACTGAGAGAGCCTCTAGTGGTGCTCAAGTTCCGCCAGAAGCTTTCAGGGAATCACCAGGTAGGGGCAAGTGGTGTTCACCAGACTGATACAGGTTCAATCTTGGTGCCAGTGCTGGGTCTGAGGCTGCTCATAAAAAGTCCCAGGGTATATATATCAAGTCTAGCTGACACCCACTGGGTGCTCACAGAGGTTTGTTTTCAGGTGGGGCCTCAGGGATTGTCAGGATGATGTCAGCAGAGTTTATCTGACCCCAAAAGACCAAGATTTGGCCATGGAAATTGGCCCCTGTCCAGAGATCAGCAGGGCAGGGGGCACTGGGAGTCAGAGGGGTGGGGCTAGTGGATCTTCAGCACTGGTCAGGCTTGAGGGAAAGAAAGAGGCCCCTGCCCCAGAGCCACACAGATCAGTCACTGACACCCTGAGTCTGCCAGGACCTCTACACCCCTGACCAAGCAGCTGACTCGTCAGCAGGTGGTGAGCTTTGCAGGGTGGGGCAACAGGGGGTCCACAGGGTGGAACTATTACATTCCCCCAGGCTGATGCCGTAAGGAGGGAAGTGATCCACCCAAGAAAGATGGCATCTGCGGTGTGGAAGAGAATCTCAGCGCAGAGATTCTGGCAGCTGTCCCTTCAGCTCTCTCCCCAGAGCCACAAACCCTAGTCTTTTCCCAAGCCACTCTAGTCCACTGGACCCTCTCCACCAAAACCCATGGTATGTGGCTGCAAAAATGATTTTGTGCATTGGCCCTTTAAGTGTGCATGTGTGTCTCCAGCAGACTTCCATCTCTCCCTAGTACACAGAATCCCTGCTGATTTTCATAGCCATGTGTCATTTGGGCACCCGTTCCCAGCTCTGGTACTCTGGGCTAGGGAGCCTGGCATGGAACTGAGACTCCACACTCTTCAGGGGGATACTTCCCAGCTGAGATATCCCTCTGAGATCTGAGCCATGGCCCCTGGGAGCAGGACCAGCCCTTCTCACATTTCCGCCCTTCCTACAAGTCTTGATGTGGCTTCTTCTGTAAATCCTTGGCTATAAGACTTCTGTTTAGAGAGTCTTCAGTTGATCATTCAGGTTGATTGTTCTACATTTTAGTCGTAATTCCAGTTTGGACCTGGAAGGTGAGTATAGCTTCTACCTACTCCACCGCCATCTTGGATCTCTCCAATAGTACTTTCTAACATTTAAAGAAACGTTAACTTACCACCATAAGCACTCATTGTGTCATTTTTATTATAGTTAATTTATAATTCCCATTTGCTGTCATAGTCAAGCTGATACAGAGGAACAATCAAGAATTACAAGAGGAGGAATCAGAATGCCTTTACATGCCAGCATGCCAGGGCCCCAAGCTCCAAGACAACAGAAGCTTTTTGTTCAAGACCTCGCCCTATGAATCTCTTCATCTGGCTGCTGCATTGACATTAATAAGGGATTTCAATTGTGTAACTAAAAAAGAATGACTAAAAATTCCATTGACTCATTGTTAACCATAGAGCATTATAATTATTTGAAAGATACAAACCACTTCTAAACCCACAACTGGTTTGGTCTCAATTAAGAAAAACGCTGTGGCCTTGGTTGGGTGGCTCAGTTGCTTGGTGCATCATCCTGTACACCACAAGGTTGTGGGTTTGATTGCAAGTCAGGACCCATACCTAAACTGCAGGTTCAATCCCTGGTCAGGGTGCATGCAGGAGGCAACCGATGAATGTTTTTCTCTTTCCCTCCCTCTCCCTTCCTCGCTCTCTCAAATAAACATATCCTTGGGTGATGATTTTTAAAAAATAAAGGAAATTGCTGTGATTCTATCTCCATGTCAGATTAGAATCACTGAACAAGAAATAAGCAAATCTGATATTTCTAGAGATCGGGGAAATTTGCAAAAAATACAAAAAAGAAAAATAGTCATGTCATTAAAACCTGAGGCATTGTTTCTAAGACTGATGTTGAGCAGAACCTAATTGTCCTGAGGGCTTAATGATTATGGGAATGGATGTGCAAAGAAGGAGAGAGGCAGGTTTGGATGTTCTTATGTTGACAGCTGAATGGAGGAATGGCCAGATGGAAGAGATGCACGGGGCAAGGTATGGGAAGAGGGTGTGGCGCTTCCCTGCCACTCTCCCAGCCTCTCCAGGTGTTCATCAACCCAGGAGCTCTCCAAACTGAATGAAACTGTCTATGGTAGGTATCATTTAAAGAGTATATTTGACACCATTTGGCCGTAATTTTTAAATGTTTTGTTATATTGAGCCATAAAGGCATCCATTCCTTTATTACACTGCTTCATGATTAGAATGCCTGCTTGTATTTTTTCCTAGATGTTTATTAAGTTTTTGAATAAAGAATTTCTTTGTTTTTTTAGTGAAATATGTTCCCCAAGCTGTTGTGAATTAAAATGTAAATATGATGATGTCTTTCTTTGTGTATTTACAACCAGGACAGAGATGACTAGTTTCATATGTAGTTCTGTGAAACAATTCACCTTTACTGACACAACATAACTTTGTATATATTAAGATATCCATTGATTCAACTGCTATGGAAGAAAAGGGAAACTAAGGAGACAGTTTAGGGACTCACTTCAGCTTGTCCTCTTCAGTAGGTACTAAAATTGGTAGCTCCTAAGCTACTTAAGAATTTCTGGCTCTAAGTTATTTGCCTGTTACTTTTCTTTATAAAGCTTTACAATTACATGAATAAAGATTTCAGTTTCAAGAGAATTCTTATTGAATTCAGTGTGTACTACTGAATCACACACCACATGGCTATGAGAGGGTGTGTTAGGGTTGCTGTAATTTAATTTTGAACTAGCTTCATAGAAAGACCCATTGTGGTGGCGAGCAGTTAGTATATTTTTAGAACCTGTGGAGCATGAGGGAATGTTCCTGGAGCTCACTCATCGGGGTCTTTTTCAAGTTCAAGTCCAGGAATATAAGATTAATCTTGTCTAGAGGCAGAGAGAGATTCTCTTGTGGAACTAACTAGAATTTCATCTTAAACCTTCTATCAAGAGAACTCTACAAGGAGGTCCCTGTAATGACTACTTGCTCTAGGAGCTAATAGTCAACACTGACTGCAAACTACATAGCAGTGTGACAGTCTGAATTTTTTTAATAAATAAATTAGACATATATTATATAAGCTTAAGGTGTTCAATGTGTTACTTTGATATTTATATATTATAGATGGTTCTTGTAACGTATTTATCACATTACATAATTATAATACAACATTACTGTCTAGATCAGCGATTTTCAACCTTTTTCATCTCATGGCACACATAAACTGAGTATTAAAATTCTGCAGCACCCCAAAAAGAAATATTTTTTTGCCAATCTGACAAAAAAAGGTATAATTTTGATTCATTCATACCAGACTGATATTGTTGTATTAGCTGTTGTCATTTTTTTATTTGATAATCTAAGGGAAGAGAGGTCATTGCCCCTAACTAAATAGTCAGGTATTGCATGTTTTAAAAATTCTTGCTGCTCACTGGTTGAAAATTGCTGAGCTCGGTTCATTATACTGTGCATTAGAGCCCTATGGGTTTTTACTACGTTACAAGTTTGTACCCTTAAACACCATCACTCTTTTCCCCCACTCCCCATACCCTGCTAACCACTGTTTTACTCTCTGCTGTTTAGATTTTGATAGGTTTGATGTTTTTAGAGTCCATACATAAGTGATATGGTAACAATACTTTTTGTTTGATTTATCTCACTTAGTATAATGTGATCAAGTCCTATCCATGGTGTAGCAAATGGGAGGACAGCCTCCTTTCTCATGGCTGAATATATTCATTATGTATTTGTACAACATTTCTCTTACCCATTCACCTGTTGATGGGGATTTGGGGTTGTTTTTATACCTTGGTTAATACTGCAATAAACGTGGGAATGCATATGTCATTAAATAAAAGAATTATAAGAGTAGGAATCATTGCAAATACTCTATCGCACATGACAGTCACAACTAAATATCAAATCACTTTAAGGAGCTGATGATATAAGCTTTGGCAGTTTTCAAGAAACACTGGCGAAACCCTAAATACTTCTCAATGCATCAGCTACCATCTACTGTACACCTCCTCCTGCAGTTGGCACTGTACAAGGTACTTAAGGACAAGGAGTTTGACTCCATAAATTTCAAAAATATATATTTAAGACTTATTATTCACAGAGTTCTTGGCATAGTTGTATTTTGAAGTTTCTACTGTTGAGAAGTTTGAGGTTTGTGTTGTCTCTCTTTCAGTCCCAAAAGCTCCGTTCTGAGTTCTCCGGGCTTTGGTGGAATTTCAGGTATTGTCTATTAAAAACAAAACAAAACATAGATGCCAATGCTTTCTTAGACTGTAATTAAATGTGACCTGAAAAACTTCAGAGCAAATAAGAATTTAAAAAGAACAGAAAGCCCCTTGCTGCTCAATGATAAATCTTTATTATGAGAACCCACAGTTGATCAAGTCCCTTTCTAGCCTCATATTTATGACTCTATCATTCAGGCTATGCCTAAAGTTCTAGCCCCAGAGGGACAGTTTGCATCACTATCAACTGACAGATCAAAAATCTGAATATAGCTTTCCATACATGGAAACTTACTCCTGCACTATTTACTGACTCCCCAGCACGCATAAAACAGTGAGCAAAAAAATATAAAACTGCTTTCAGGAAAGATGGTCAGGAAAGGCCTGAGAGGGCGACTTCTTTTGGTAACTGCTTTAGTGAGATAATTTGCATACCATACCATTCGCCCATTTAAAGTATAAATTTAATGGCCTTTAGTATATTCATGAAGTTGTGCGTCCATCAGAATAATTAATTCTAGAACTGCACCCACGAGAGGAACCCCACACTCATCAGCAGTCACTCCGGCTGCCACACAGCCTTCCGGCCTCTGAGCCACGGCCCTAGGCAATCATCAATCTACTTTTGTCTCTACAGATTGGTCTATTCTAGACGTTTAATATAAAAGGGATTATACAATATGTAGTCTTTCGTGATTCGTTTCTTTCACTTAACATGTTTCTAAGGTTCATCCATGTTGTCACATATCAGTACTTCATTTTCTTTTAATATTCCATTAATTAACACATAACATTCCATTATATAGGTATACCACATTGTATGTGTCCATTGATCAGTTGATAGACAACTTGGATTGTTTCTACTTTTTGGCTCTTCTAAATACCATATTTTGCAATGTATAATGCATACTTTTTGCCCAATTTTTTGAGGGAAAAATAAGGATGCACATTATACATGGACAGTTACCGGTACATAAAATTTCTTGTACCTTGTATCTGTTCTTGTGTTTTGCAATTATTTGTTACATAAAATTTCTTGTACCAGAATATGTTCAAAAACAAATACAAAAATTCCTTTATACTACGAAAAAAAGTATCTAAATATAAATTAAAAATAATTGAATTAAAAAATTAAAACAAAAGATTTTCTCCCCCGACAGTCTGGGCCAAAAACATAGGTGCACATTTTACAGGGCAAAATATGGTTAATACTTCCATGAATATTCATGCACAAGTTTTTGTGTGGACATATGTTTTAATTTCTCTTGAGTATAAATCTGGAAGTAGAATAGCTGGGTCATATGATAACTCTATGTTTAACTGTTTGAGAAACTGCCAGGCTGTTTTCCACAGCAGCTGCACCCTTTGATATCCCTCACAGCACTGCAGGAGGGTTAGAATTTCTCCACAGCCTCACCAAACCTTGTCACTAGCTGGGTTTGTATTTAAAATTAATAGCCATTAGAGTGGTTATAAAGTGGCATCTTATTGTGACACAGACCTTACATTCTAGTGGAGGAAACAAAAAAAAAAAATAGAGACAAAGAAAAATAATTGCATATTGTGAGACATGCCCTATGGAAACAAAGGACCGAGATGGAACAGCAGAGGAGCGGACCTCCTGAGGCTGCCCAGGACGCTCGTCGCTGGAGGAGACAGACATTTGCGCAGAAACCTAAAGTTTTGAAGGAGGAAACCAAGCCAAGATCTGGGAGAAAAGCACTCCAAGAAGAGAAAAAGCATGGCTTTGAGGTGGGAACAGGCTTGATGAACTTGAGAAACAGCAAGGAAGCTAGTGCGGCTGCAACAGAGGGAATAAGGGGGAAATGATACAACGTAAGTCCCCTGGCAGGCAGGGGCCAGGCTGTGGAAGGCGTTAAGCCTGTACGGTTTCTGGGTAAAACTGTGTACAAGCAGGGAGGACATGAGGACCTGGCATTGCTGCACATGCCACTGGATGCCATCATAAGGTTTCTAGGCCCAAGGCAGATGTGCTCCTGATTCCGTTTTAAGATCATTTTTGCTGCTGTGGGGAGAGCGGAGTGGTCCAGGAGCGAGGAACGAGGGCCGTTCTGCACTCACCAGGTCTGGCCGGTAGTACCTGTGCACCACTTGGGCCCCTGCGAACATGGCCAGGAGGCTGGCTGCGACCATCTTCACGTAGCTGGGCCAGGACACTCCCGCGGGCATGGTCGGCGGGCTGTGCGGGAGGGAAAGCGTGCGGCATTAGAAGGTTCCCAACTCAGGTTTAAACCAAGCTGGGAAACGAGTCTCCCAGAGACGTGCGGCGGGGTCGGGACACGTTGGTTCTCTCCACCCCTGCGCCCCACCGGAGTCCTTATATAAAAAAGGGCGTTGAGAGGGCAAACCCCCTCCTGTTTTGAGACGAGACCAGCCTTCAACGGTTTTTTAACGTTAGGTGCTAGGCCTTTCTAATTTAAAGACAGCCCTGCGGGAGCAAGCGGAAGGCCGGCCTGCCTTGTTTCCCCGCGCCGCCCCTTCAGACCCTGGAACCGCAGACCGCACTCCCACTGGCCCCAGAGGCGCCCAGACACAGACTGCCCCGGAGGGCACGTGCACTCCGCAGCTGCGGCCCCGCCGGAGAGGGAAGTGGGGAGCATGAGAACTGGGCAGAAATGGGGCTTGGGGCCGGGGCCAGAATTTTTTTTTTTTTTTTTTTTTTTTTTAACCGATTCGCAGGTCTTTCCCAGCCCAGGTTTCTGTCTCCTTCATCTTTCCCCCATAGCAGGATTTCCCTGGCAGATGTCGCGGCTTGGGCTTGGCTCTGGCTGGGTTGGTGCACATCTGTCCCTTCACATGCACAAACTGCAGGTGTTAACTACCTTTTACAAGCGGGTGGAGACTGGCACACTGAGCACCGAGTGCTTAGGTGGTCACCGTCTAGTGAGTGAAGTTAAAAGCACTCTGTCCTTGTGCCACGTGTCCTTTTGATGCCTGAAACAACTACACCGAGACAGCTATGTGCTATGAGGCTACTGAAAAAGAGAAAATCTGAAATCAACAATATTTAATTATGCATTTTTAGGTTGTGCTTTAGTTAGGGATTGATTTTTGTTAAGAAGAGGCTAAAGCAAGACGATTCTGAAGGATTATGGTTTTGTGTATAAGATAAATCATGATACACTCACTTTTTAAACAGGTAAGTATATTTGACATAAAATAAACCACATATTTAAAGCATTAAATTTGATGAGGTCTGACATGTGTACACCTGTGTAACCCTTCTTATGATCAAAATAATGAATGTATCTATCACACCGAAAAAGTTTCTTTGTGCCTTTCTAATCCCTCCATATCGTCTTCTTCCCTAGGCAACCACTATAGGCGACCTTACTAGGTTCTTGAAAGGGAGAGTATTGGGAGGAAAAGGGAAACAAGGTGAAATGACTTGGCCCTTATTTCGTTTTTGCATCTACAAGGTCTCTTGGAAGTAGAGACATATTTGGCAAAGACAAGAGGTTTCTCCTAGGCTTCCCCAATCAAGGCTCACAGAACAAGTTTGTCTTCCAGGCAGAGTCAGGGTGGTGAGCAAGACATGATGGAATAGGAGCCACTTTGTTGATTGCTTCACCATTCCCAAGTTCAACGTCCGGCTCCCCAGCAACTCTTCTAGTAAACTCTTCATAAGATAGAACTAAGCAGAGGCTCCTGGTCTGCTGTTAGGAATGGAGCTGGCAGACCCAGAAGGTGCAGCCCCACAGTGAGATGCTGGCTGCCCAAGAGTAACTCTTCCTGAATGAAAACCTCCTGAGAAAAGTTTATAGCTCTTTAAACATACTTCCCATCACCAGAATTACCTCTCTGAAATCAGTTAGAAGCCACCTGCTTTAAATCTCTTCTAGTCTGTCATCCTAGGGGGGTTAGAAACCAGAGAAAGAGAGGATGCACTGCTATTCATTCATTAATTCAACAAATGTTCAATGGATACCTACTTTTTTGTACTGGGCTCAGTCTATCAACGACCAATGTTGTGAATGTACCGCCCTTATGATTCTTACTATGGCTGCAAGACACTTTGAAAAGATACAGGTTTATTATTTATAGTTACACAGCACACCTGCAGCCCCACAGAAAGGTTGTAGCTAGAGCGAGCGTAGCCACGTGCATGGGCCTGGAGTTCTGCTTTTATTGTGGTTAAGTGTGGGGGCCTAGGGTTTCAAGAGTTCACTCATTATCAGTGCATTTAAAACAAAAGAGTGGAAATTTAAAGCACAGAAAAGGGGGAAAAAACAAGTGGCTCAAATGGTCATTTATTGAAATCAACCAAGATTCCTAAAGTAAAGAAGCCTCAGCTCCCAGAGGTGGCCTGGCTCCTCAATGGCTCTTTAACCCAACACGCCTGTGCGTGCATACATGTGCCTGCCTGTCCGGCAATGTATTTATTCTAGATAGTGTCTGTGTGTTAATGTGTGCGTGTCTGGCAATGTGTTCTAGATAGCCAGTCTATGAAAGGGGATGCCTCTTTGAAATGAATGCTGCGATCAAAGCTTAAGTTAAGCACTTGCGTTAGAAAAAAAGAAAAAAAAGTTAGGATTTACGTACACCTACAATGAGTCAGGTTCTGAGTAGTGCCTACTAAGGGACACGGTATTTGTAAAAGTTCTGAAAAGCTTTAAAATATTAAAAGTTTCATTTAAACAACTGACATAATACTAATTAACCATTCTGTATGTACTCATTAAAGCCCTTTCTTAGATTCCAGAATGAGGAAGCCACATAAAGCACAGAGCCACAGCCATCTTCCGGCCCCCATGTTACATTGGTGAGAAACAAACCTTTGTTGCTGTAAACCACTGAGATCTTGGAGTTGGCTGTTACCACAGCTTAGCTAGGGAAAGCTAATACAGCAGCCATGTTTTTCATCATACAAACTAGAGAAAAATAAAAAGCCGTCTCCATTAACAGCTATTTGGTGAAATCCTTATACAAACACCAATGACAAATTGAGAACTAATGAGACAAAAACTAGCTGTAAGAGCCATTGAGAAGAAAACAGGGTTGGTCTGCAAGGTTGTGAAAGAAAATGTGATGCCTGACTGGTATCTACGATCACATGCTTAAAACATTAATATTTTTACATTTCCAGGGTAAAGCAGACAATGTAAAGTTTTACAAAGCAGTTTCAGAATCACCTCGATTTACAGACTAGGAATTTGAGGCCTAAGACGTTACACTGGCCTGGACTCCCACATTATCTGATATCATAGACTCTTCTTTCCTCCACATCACGCTTGATAACTAATACAAGACTTTTTAACTAGGGTAACATTTTGGGTGGAAAGGCCTACATAATCCTGAGATAAACATAACCACCCCACCTACTGAGCGTCCCTAGAGGACTTCATTACCCCTTCACCCCCGCCACCCGTCCACCACTTAAGAGCACTGGAGGGGACAAGAACTTACGTCAGCGGAGCGCTCACCCTCCCACCTTTTTGTCCTCCGCCCTTCCCGAAAGGCCAAGCGGCAGGCAGAACTACGGAGAGGAACAAACTGATTGGGCTGTCCTGAGACACGTGACGCCCACAAGTCGTGGGACTTGTCGAGGAACAAACGGAAGCGCCCGGCAAAAGAGGGGTTTGAGCTGGGGGGGAGGGGGAACTAGAAGCTTGGGGGAGGAGCTACAGCGGTAGCTGCTGTCCCCGTTCTGCCAGCAATCGTGTCCAAGTCTCTGGTTATTGTCGAACGCTGTACATACACCAAGATACTACGGCGACATCGCTCGCTTGCCTGGCAGGAGTAGCCGTCGGCGCGAGCGGCAGCCGGGAATGGAAGCAGAGAACGGGGGCAGGTAAGGCTGGGGCGGAGCGCCGCCCTTCCCCCCGCGCCCCTCACGGCGGGGCTGGCCGGCGGGCGCGCGCACGCACGCTGGGGTCTTTAAGGGCTGCGGCCAGCTACAAAGGCTGGAGGCGCGCGTGCGCACTGCCACCCTGCTCTGGTCCTTCCTCACAGGGCCGTCCTGACGCGGCCTCTCTGGCGCCTGAACCCGGGCTTCAGTGGTTTCCGGCATCTGGCTGGCTTTAAGATGCGGTAGCAAACAACCAGCAGTCTCCTATTAATATTTCTGGTTGCCATTCTTGGCTGCGTTTCCCTTTACCCCTCATTATCATGCGAAGGAGCTGTGAAGATGCAGTATCATCGTATCCGTTCAGGAGTTTGCATTTTAGAATTAGGTTTACTGTGGCTTCCTTCCTGAAAAGACTTGCCGGAAGTATCGTCAGGGGCCACGAGGTAGAGAACACTGCCATCCTTGAGCGCTTGAATTCTGAGACTATGGATAACAGTCCAAGAAGTCCTCTAAAACCGTCCTCTAGTGGTCTGGGGGATGATCTCAAGAGTCTGCTTTTCACATGGCCTTTGGGGAGTGTTAAACGCGTGGAAGAAAACGTATTGCAAAGGCAGAGATTTCGAGATTTGAACGAGCAGAAAACCAAATGAAAATAATTAGATATGTTATATAACAGGGTCTTTTTTTTTTTTTAAAGTGATTATTATATTGGACTAAAATACTGTTAGACCTGTGAAGGATTATCCTTACTCTCAGTGGCTAATGGGCCCTGAAATTAGGCAAGACACTTCACATCCCTGGGCCCGTTCACGTTGTAGAATAGGGCATCTCTGGAATCCAGGTCTGACATTCTGTGAATCTGGGTTATGTGAAAAGGGTTAAATAACCAAAATAGTCTTGGGGTTTAGGAAAGGAGATACATGTACCTAAAGCAGGGACTTTATCTTGACTTTGTGGGTCAACTCTTGAAATAGAAAGTACTCCACTTCTTTCCCAGAACTTGGCAAATAAAAGAATTCAGCAGAACTCGTGAAAATCGCTCTGACCCTTGCGATCTTCAGATCAGAATTGAAACTTGAGTAAAAGCCTACTATCAAATAAACTACATTTGCCAACGAGGCCAAGAACTCTGTGAATAATTAGTCTTAAAAATATATCTTTGAAATTTATGGAGTCAAACTCCTTGTCCTTAGGTACCTAATACAGTGCTAACTGCGGGAGGAGTTGTGTGGTATATAGTAACTGTGCATGTTATAAGACCTCATTCAGTGTCTTATAAAGCAAGGTAATAGGTCTCTGGTACAATGTTTAGCTCCAAATTGACTTATAGTCTCTCTCCACTTAATCCATAGGGTTATAGATCATTTTAAAATTTAAACTTGCAAAATTTTAACCTCAGGAAAAACGGAGAATTCTGCAGTAATACTGTAAAGAGTTTATCCTTGGGGATTCTAAAATGACAGGCCCCAGATAATCCCAAGAAAGTGTTTTTCTGTCACCCTTACTTTGTGCTAATCCAGGAATGGAATGGAATGCTAGAAAATAATGAGTTTGCTTTTTACTTTAGAAAATTAATTTCAAAAAATTCAAAGAAAAAAAATACTATGGCTATAGACTCTTTTAAAAAGAGAAAATAGTTCAAGAGTCATAAGAAGCACTTACGGCCTAACCAGAGAGGAAAAAAGGAAGAGGGCCAGTATGTTTCTAATGAAATCAAGCATGAAAAGGACATTTACCAAAGACGGAAATAAGATGCTAAATCAAAAATGACTGGAAAAGTGTCGCATGGACCACTGAGAATACAGTCAGAAAACATTAACCCTTGAATAAGAGCAGGCATTCTAGAAGTGCTAAAAAAGAGCAAGAAGAACTCTTTTGGTTCGGTGTGGACAACGAAAAGGACAAGAAAGGTGTGGGTTTTCTGCCTAGTTTACATGGTGTTAGTAGTGACAGAAACATAAGCACTTACTGCTGATTTTTGTTTTTCATCTCCTATGTTAAAAAAAAGTGACTGCAGACTGGAAATGGGGGAATGAATGTTTGTAAGGGATATAAAGTTCAAGATCAATGAAGTCATTTAGGAAAACTTTTAATTGCTGTAGCAGAAATCATTATTTCCTTGCCTGGATGAGTTGGATTTCAAGTGAAAGGCCACATTAACAGCAGTGTTGGGGAACTTGTAGACAACAGGAGAGGGATCTGAAGCCAGAAAATAAATGCATGGGTCCCTGTTTCTCCCAAATGTGGAAGCTGCCCACTTAATTTATGGACTTTCATCCTAAATAAAATGATTACTTTTCAGTGGTCAGTGAGCATATTTAAAAGGAGCTAGTGACCACTGGGCTATAGTATAAGTTCAGAAAAAAAGCAAGACCTACAAAGCTGGGTCATTCCCTTTTAGATAATGACACTAGACTAGACAACATCAGAAAGTACCTAAAATATTTCTTCATTTCCTGCTGTTTTTATTACTGTCATGGCAAATTTAGTATATATATACCAGGCACTGTTTTAAGTGTTTTATGCCTGTTAACTAATTTAGTCCTCATAACCAATGAATTAGGTGCAGCTATTCTCAGTTTCTGATGTGGAATCTGGGACATAAAGAGGCCAAAGAACTTGTCTACCAAGCTAGTAAGTGGCAGAGCCGAAATTTAAACCCAGGCAGTGTGGCTTCAAACTTGCCTCCCGAACAACTGCCCTACCACTTGTGTGTGCAGATGGGCAGGCCGGGGAGTGGAGCAAGCTGAAGATGGATTGATAGCGGTCTCATTAGGTGAAATCAAACTGGTTAACTACAAAATCATTAAGGGCAGGCTGAAGAGAGGTCTATACTGATGTGCCATTTAGTTCTACCCCAATTTTGTTCTCTTCAGAAGTTTAACACCTTCAGGGTGCAGATGAAATGATAAGATCTGCCTGTGACCTAACTCTGGGACGGGTTTGTGGAATTGATGGGTTGGCTCAAAATCCAGCTCAATCCCAACTGGCTGGAATGGTGAATGATCTTTTACAAAGAGAGGCACACCCCTTTATTTAGGCGTGGAAAAATCAATGATACAAATGTGAGACGAGGGAGAGGTGTTAAAGGGGAAGTTTTCATCAATGGTGAACACAGTATGAATCAACAGTGTACTGTGAGCACCAGTAAAGCTGATAAGGATGAGGATGTTGATAGTCCTGCTCAGTTTCAGGATGAGGGGGATATATCTGAAGTATTTTTATTTTGTTTGCTTCTGAGCACCAAAAATGACCGAATAGTGAGGAAACTTGAAATCATACTATATGAAGAGTAGTTAATGAACTAGGGGCTCTTGCTTATTCTGCGTCTTTGTGTTTACAATTTCTGGTAGACTGTGCACAGCAAGTACCCAGTAATGTGTGGTGAATACACAGGCTTCCACTTAAGCAATATTGAATGTAGCCTTTAAATAGTTATGGTATTCCATCGTAGTTTACATAACTAGTCCTTTTTACTTGAGCATTGGTATTATTTAGCATTGATTGGTATTTTTCTAAGTATTCAGTGTTGTCTATGTTCGTTTAAATGAAGATAATAAAATGTTGCTATGAATGTTTATGTCCTTCTAAAATTCATGTGTTGAAACTTAATCCCCAGAATGATGATGGTGTTTGATGGTGGTGGGGATGGTCTTTAGGCAGTGATTAGTGCTCTTTTGAAAGAGATCCCAAGAGAGATCCGTCATCCCTTCTGCTGCGTGAAGATACATGGAGAAGGCAGCCCTCTCTGAACCTGGAAGCAGGCCCTTGCCAGACACTAAATCTGCCACCACTTTCCAACCTTGAAAACTGTGAGAAATAAGTATTTGTTCATTATCTACTCAGTCTATGGTATTTTGTTGTAGCGGCCCAAATGGACTAAAACAAGTGTATTTGGAAAGAGCAACTCAGATCTTTAAAATAGTGGAAAATAATTGTGGATTAAAGAAGTTGGAATTGTTCCTTTTAGAGAAAACCTTAAAGAATTAGTTTTTTGAAATATAGCAAAGTCCGAGTTAACGAGACTCCTCTGTCAGCTCTGTGTGTGTATGTTTTGAGAAAGACTATTAGGAAACAACACAGTTCATCAGGAAAATACACAATTTATCAATTGCAGACAACTATAAAAACCGACCCTTTGAGCAGTGCAGTTCAAGAGAAAGGGAGTGTGCATGAAGGTAGGAAAGAAGAAGGGGTTAGTGGCAGGAAAAGGAGGCAGCACACATACAGATGAGGACAAACATAAACGACAGGGAACCGTGATCAAGAGGAAATAAAACCATTCATACATACCTCCCTGACCGGGTAGCTCAGTTAGTTAGAGCGTCATCCCGATATGCCAAGGTTGTGGGTTTGATCTCCAGTCAGGACACATACAAGAAGCAACCAATGAATGCATAAGTAAGTTGAACAACAAATCTATGTTGCGTGTGCTCTCTTTTCCTTTTCATCTCTAAAATCAATTAAAAATCATTCGTACTTCTAAGTTTGATATCAGGGAGTTTAAAAAGAAAAAAAGAAAACTCTTTTGGGGTATGTTCTGGAGTCTGGGCATATTTGGTCCTATTTTCTACACATTCTCCATACACGAATGTAGGAATCACCAAATCTCACCTTCCATTTTCATGATGAGGGAACTTCGCTCCTACGAGGATGAATGACTTGACAAAGTGCTATTTTGTAGCTCTTCCTCTCCTACAGGGATAATTATTGTTCATAAACATTGCAGAATTCTGAGTTACAAAGTGAGTTATCGTATATAAATACAACAAGTGTATTTAAGAAATATGTTTACATTAAGGATGAAAGAAGTTTATGCTGCTTATAAATTTAACTACTATTAGATAGAAGAAAATGAGATTACCCAGAACCCTTTAGTTTTCTAGTATTCAGGTTCATGAAAGTCTTACTTTCTCCTGCCAAGCAACGAGAATATTGTAGTCACCCTTTTTCCTCTTGTTCTGGCTGTTAGGAAGCTGTAAGGTGATTGGACTAAATGTAACATTCAGAGAGCATATGTTACCTTAGAACTCACACATTCTATTTTCCATAGATTAATCTTTTTATTTCTGTTCTAATTTAATTTACCGCAAAGTGTCACTTAAATGTTATAAGTTTCTAGATTTCTTTCAGTGTTGATATGTAAAATATAAAACTCCAGTATTTTTCTTCATTATTTTTCACTTTATTCAACTGATTTTGAAAATATTAACTTTCAATTTGCAAACCCCAGAATTCTTAAGATCCTTAACAACCCCTAAATATGCTAAGGGAGTCACATTTTGCAAATTTATTTTTTAAGGTTCAGAATCCTTTTGTAACATGAATGGTGTCTCCCAAATTTACCTGTTTTGCCATGTACAATGTGCACCTTTTTTGCACAAATTTTTGAGGGAAAAATGAGGCACACAATACATGGGTATGATGATTACATACCATGGGTATAAATAATTCTCTGTATAATGCACACAAAAACATGGGCGCACATTATACACAGCACACGGTATGTGTTTTAAGTTTGGGTTTTTGTGAAGCACTCAAAATAGAACCCATCTGTAAAACTCTGAGAGAAGTAGCAGGAAGCTTGGGGGCGGGGGGGTGCGTAGGTGGCCTTCCTGAGTGTGACAGACTAAGAACAGACCTCGTGCATTTTTTGGCCACTCATTTATTGTGACCACGTGTCTTTATGTATTCCAGCTGAAAGTGGCTGTGAGCCTCTGGGAAAGCTGCCACTGGCCGCAGCCACAGTTCATTGTACTAAAGTTTCCAGAGGGTAAACTGCACGTGATCTTGCAATGTAACCTCGCCTTACCCAACTCTGCATTAGAATATTTAAATCATAAACATTCAACAACCAGTGTTTTGACAATTTACGATAAGAGCTATGAATAGTATTAAAGAAAGGTGTGAGAAAAAAAGGATGTTTTACTTTGTGCTGGGCACAATTTAAGCACTTCATTTCTCTTCATTTTTATATTTTAACTTCTTGTCCTTGGCTACATATTTTTTCTATGTGTTGCTTTAGTTTACAGTACTGTTTTATATTCTTTCCCACGTTAAAGCATATATTAAATGTTTTCCCCCTCTTTTACAGAATGTCAGTGTATTTAATTTTTAGGCTCTTAATAGTATTTTCTTATGTTAATGTTTGCTAAATCGTATTATTTTTATATTTTTTATATAATTTGAGAACAGTATATTTAAAGAAATAAAATTCTTCAGATACAGTTTAATATCTTTCTTACTAATTCTTAACTTTTTAAAATCAGTTTACCCTTAAGGATAATTTGAAATTAAAATGCCTTTCCTGCCCTGACTGGTGTGGCTTGGTTAGGCATCATCCCACAAAACCAAAGGTCACTGGCTTGATTCCTGGTCAGGGCACATGCCTGGGTTGTGGATTCAGTCCTAGGTCAGGGCATGTACAAAAGGCAGACGATCAGTGTTTCTCTCCTTCTCTTTCTCCCTCCATTCCCCTCTCTCTAAAAATAAATACATCTTAAAAAAACAATAAAATGCCTCTCTGATGGTTTGTCCATTGTTAAACAGTGGATTGAGCCTGTTTTTCTGTGCGAATCTGTTTTCTTTGCCAATAGCCCAGCCACCCATGGGTAGACCCTTTCCTTGTGTCTGCCTCACCCATTTACACTTTTCCAGAGGAATGCTTTGTTTGCCCTGTTTTACAACCATTTTATTAGGATATAATTTACATACTATAAAATTGACCCTCTTAAACTGTACTAGTTTGCCTTTTTAATTTCTGCTGAGCTCTCTGGGTTTGTTTGTTTTTTTTTAAGATTTTATTTATTTATTTTTAGACAGAGGGGAAGGGGAGAGAAACATCAACGTGTGGCTGCCTCTTGTGTGCTCCCGACTGGGGACCTGGCCCGCAACCCAGGCATGTGCCCTGATTGGGAATCAAACCAGTGACCCTTTGGTTTACAGGCTGACACTCAAACCCACTGAGCCACACCAGCCGGGGCTCCGAGTTCCCTGTCTTCCTTCTCCACATGCAAAGAGAAAGAAACCTAATAAGCAGAGTATCTTGCCACAGAACATACAACCTTTCTTTCCAAGTAGTAAACAGTACTTATCCACTTAATTTCCTAGTGTTTTTCTTCCTGCTGAGTATCATGGTATTATTTGGCATTAGCGTAACTTGAGTTTCATAAAATATATTCACTTCCTTAGCTTTGTGCTGATGGCAACAGCTTGAGATAGTGGTTTATGGTCATCAGAAATATTTTTGGGAAATATTTGTTGTCTGTGAAGGCCTCTGTTCCTTATATTAAACAGAATACTCTGAACAAAGTTTAAATCATGTTCAGAAGAAAGATCTAGAGTGGTTTTATTCCCCATGAATTCATAGACATTCGTGACATGTTCACTTCTAGTCCTCATTTAGTGGCAGAAAAAGCAAAATCCAAGAGACAATTAAAAAACAGATCCAATGAATGAATAAATAAATAAACAGGCAAATAAACCAAAACAGAACTTTAAATTAGATTGGAGGAGGGGTGGGAATGGGGAGATGTTAAAGTGTACAAACTTCCAGGTAGGAGAGGATGAAGAGGGGATAAACGGTGATGGCAGGGGACTTGACTTGGGATGGTGAACACACAATAACATATACAGTTGCTGTATTATAGAACTGTACACCTGCAACCTATATAATTTTATTAACCTGCGTCGCCCCAATAAATTCAGTAAAGTAAAAAAAAAAAAGAAAGAAAAAGATGAACCAGTTCTGGGGACTAATGCACAGGATCACCATGCTATTATTTACTTCAAAGTTGCTAAGAGAATAGATCTTAAATGTTCTCACCACAGAAAGAGATGGTAATTATGTGACAGGATGGAGGTGTTAGCTAAGGCTGCCAGTAGCAGTCATTTTGCAATATGCAAGTGTATCAAGGCAATATGCGGTAGACCTTTAACTGACACAATGTTATATATTAATTTTAGCTCAAAACCCTGGGGGAAAAGTAGGCTGGAGGAGGGTTAGATGGGGGGGAATCTTCGTGACAAGGGGAATAAATACTGGAGGTAGGAACCCAAGCTGTTTTTGTGTTCCTCTATGGACTAGTGGGCTTTTCAGGTCTCTCTACTAGAAAATCCCATGATCTCATTTCCGAGAAAGTACAGGCTGTCTTGACAGGACTGTCAAGTTTTATTGATGACACATCTTGTCATTAAACAATGTGAGAATTAATTAATGTTTGGTTAGTAGGCACTCAGCGAAGGTTGGGTGAATGTGTACATAGGAGAACAGAGCTTTCTCTTCACTTTGCATATGTTGTCAACCCTAAATAAATACTAGTCTGGTTTCAAAATATTTGGGTCCTGACAAATTTTTTACAGCTGATCATTTAAACTCACAGTTGGGTAATTTTATCCTCCTGTATTATATTTCATTGTTCTTTCAGTTATTCCCTTCAGCAACCTCAAGCTTTTTATACATTCCCATTTCAACAAATGATGGCTGAAGCTCCTAATGTGGAAGTCAGGAACGAGCAGCAAATACCAGCAGAGGTTCCAGAGCCAGCTGCTGCTCAAGAACCCAGACAAGGTACTTTTCACTGGGACACTATAGAAAAATTAGCTGTTGGATTAGCCAGTTTATTTAAGAAAGGGTTTACTTATGATTTTAGCTCTATTTTAGTGTTAAAATGTTTAACCCATTTTTAAGTACTTAGTATATGTCAGGCATGTGATAGATTTGGGGGGATAAAAGAACATGGATCCCACCCTGGAATATCCCATAATCTACTAGGGGGAAATAATAAGTAAGCACACGTGATGCCTCAGCACACAACGCAGTGAAGAGAGGCATACGGTGCTGTGAGAGCCCGTGGGGTTGACCCCTGACTCACACTGAGACTCAGGGGCAGCTCAGAAACTCAAGCTCAAGGGCAAGGAGACTTTATCCCCATGAAGAATGGGCGGGGAGAGGTTCAGGTCGAGGGAGAAGCATGCGCCAAGCACAGACAGGAAGAAGCGTGACACCAGTGATTCTCTATCATTGGATTCTGGGTTATTGCAAAGAAATGGTGAGAGATGAGCCAGTATAGGGGGCAGGTAAAGCTTGATTAACCTAAAAAAAAATGCATTGGGTTGGCCAAAAAGTTCATTCAGTTTTTTCTGTAAAATAAAAGACACATTTTTTATTTTCACCAATAACTTTACTGATTTGGATATTTTGAATATGTCGGCTGTCTCCCACATGGTACAATGTTGATAGTTCTCAATGGATGTCTTGATTTGATCACTGTCTACTTCAACTGGTCTATCAGACCGTGGAGTATCATCCAGAGAGAAATCTCCAGCACGAATCTTTGCAGACCATTTTTGACACGTTCCATCAGTCACAGCATCTTCTCCATACACTGCACAGATCTTTTTTTGCGTTTCAGTTGCATTGTTACCTTTCTTGAAATAATAAAGCATAATTACTGAAAATGTCACTCATTTTCTTCCATCTTCAATATTAAAATGGCTACACAAAAATTCACCAATTTTGATGTTTTTTTTAAATGCAAACAAAATTGTTTCTAATGAAGTTAAAGACAACTAAGTGCTACTAGAGTCATCTTACAGAAAAAACCAAATGAACTTTTTGGCCAGCCCAATACATCCTATCCTGAAGACAATAGGAAGCGTTGAGAGAATGTAAGCAAAGAGTGACTTTAGTATAATGACATTTAAAAATACCAGCCTGGCCCTTACTGCTGTGGCTCAGTAGATTGAACATCAGCCTGTGAACTGAAATGTTGCAAGTTCCATCCCTGGGAAGGGCACATGCCTGGGTTATGGGCCAGGTCCTCAGCGGTGTATGAGAGGAAACCAACTGATGTTTCTCTCCCTCTCTTCCTCCCTCCCTTCCCATACCTCTAAAAATAAATAAATAAAATATTTCAAAAATAAAATGTCAGCCTAGAAATGTATACCTGAAACCTATATAATTTTAATAACCAATGTCACCCCAATACATTCAGTCAATCCATCAATAAAATAAAAATATCAGTCTGCAAGTATTACAGAGGATAGATCGGGTGGTGGAAATCTGAGGACAGAATAAAGAGGACCTGAAGGGGTGGAGAAGGACAGAATTAGGAACTGCTCAGGAGGTAGAATTCATTACCTGGCCATGGTAAATGGCTTTCTTGGGGGGACGAGGGAAAAAGAGGAATCTGGAAGTAAGTGCCATGCAGTTGGACGAAGGAGGTACCACTCACTGAGATAGAGAATTAGAAGGCAAGGGAACCGATCTGGGGGTTAGGGAGTGGAGGGAAGGTCATGGCTTTCCCCAGTGCAGCAGGACTGTATGAGAAATGTGTTCAGAGTTCCAGTTCATGATTGCAGGAGCATGTCTAACTCCACTGCATTGGCGATAGCCCTGCCCTTGACTCCTGCCTTCTGGGCAGGCGGCCCAAGTACTTTCTCAGCCATAAGCTGGTGAAGGGGGATCCCTTGGCCTAGGAGTGGAAAGGAGGGATGGGAGGCCCGGGTGGAGAAACACCAAACATTAGTGGCATGGTGTAGGAGCCTGAGAAATTATAGCAGAGATGTTAAAGAACTAAGGGGAAGAAAACCTGGGCTTCCTGTTGGATACTTTGGGACAGTGGTTTGTTCCAAGGTGACTTTTGCCCCCTGGGGACATTTGTCATTGTCTGGAGACACCTTTGATTGTCTTGACTGGCAGAGTGCTACTGGCCTCTAGTGGCACAGGCCAAGGTTCCTGTTAAATATAGAATGTTAAACATTCTATGATGTACTGGACAGGACTCCACCAGCAAAAATTATTCAGTTTAGGGTATCAGTAGTGCTGAGACTGAGAAACTCTGCTTTAGGTCCTGAGATCAGATCCCTGATCTTGCCTTTTGAAAAAATACTGCCAGCCAGAGACTTCATCCTCTGCACCTCTGAAATTACCTCTCTGGCAGTGTGTGGAACAGAGTATCGACTCATAATCTCTAAAACCAGCCCACAAGCTATTTGAGGCTTTCTACTGCTGAAATTATGGGGAAATTGAGTTAAAATGTTTCCTCTCCCCTCTGTTTTGGTATCTCCTTATCCTTTTATTTGTCTACTTAACTGTTTATGTATTTACATTTAGAGTTCCTATAAAATAGTACATAGATATTTTGTATCCAAGGGGAGGCCAAGATGCCAGGTAAGATTGTGTGAAAAATTAATCTGATTATTAGGAAGGTTTCATCTCAAGAAGAGCCAGTAGAGGAAGGAGAGTAGGGGATGGGCCACATGAACCCAGTTCTAGGGTGAAACAGTGGGGAGCTATTGTAGAAGAGACTGATGCTGGGAAATAGAAGGGAAAGGTACAAAGAATGTTGATAGGGTGAGTTTTCTGGGAAAGCAGCCTAGAGTTTGTAATTATGGTTTTCTGCATCACATCCTGGAAATCATTGTGTTTCAGAGACTCCAAAGGGAAGGAAAAGAAAAACAACACAACCGAAAAAACCAGTGGAACCCAAAAAACCTGCCGAGGCCAAAAAGTCTGCCAAGTCCACAAAATCAAAAGAAAAGCAAGAAAAAATTACAGACACTTTTAAAGTGAAAAGGAAAGTTGACCGTTTTAATGGTGTTTCAGAAGCCGAACTTTTGACCAAGACTCTCCCAGATATTTTGACCTTCAATCTGGACATTGTGATTGTAAGGATTTTTGTCCTCATTCGGTTTTATAAATAGCATTGGTGGATTAACCTAACCTTTATCTGTGCAAATAATTTTGCTGAAAAGGACCATTTCTAAGAATCCTTTTGGTAGTGAATGGTGTCACCTTCACGAGGTTGTATTATTTGGGAGTGCTTAAGGGGGTGGGCTCCCAAGTGGGGCAGTCTGGTTTCCATCCCTGCCATGTGGGTTTGACCCTAGACAAGCCTTAACCTTTTTGAACACCAGTTGCCTCATTGGTGAAACAGGGGTGATAATAGTACCTCCCTCGCAGGGGTGCAATTAAGTTAAATAATCCGTGTTAATTCCCATAGGTTGCATGACATGTGAGTTCTCCATAAGTGATAACATTGGTTGTGAACTTTGATTTCTGTCTGTGATTGTAAGAAACATCAGCATGCAGACAGCTGTGTGGGTGATGGGGCGTAAGCTGCTCGGTGAGAGTTGAGAAGCAGGTGTGTGGCTGGCCCTGGGATCAGGCGGACCGATTGCTCCAGAACCTCTTTCTTTTCAGCCCAGTTGGGTGGGAGTCGGGGCCTGGAGATATGAGGGAGTAAAACTGGTTTTTAAAAACGACAGCAAAACTTTCAACATAAGGGAAATTTCTTTCCTCGGAATGGGATACCTTGTTCAGGCCAAGAGTAGGTAATAAACAATATTGTTTATGATACCAGATTAAATTTTTATTTTAATAAATTCAGTTTTGTCCGCCACTCTCCAAAGAAACCCTAGAGCCAAAACCCTGCTAAATGTATAAACTTTTTTTTCAGATTGGCATAAACCCAGGACTAATGGCTGCTTACAAAGGGCATCATTACCCTGGACCTGGAAACCATTTTTGTAAGTGGTTACTTTTTTACTATTATTTCACTTTTACACTAGATATGTTTCTTAATAGTTTAGGTTTTTTAAAAAATACCTAATTGTGTTTTTAATAAGAGATCATATATATTTGTAAACATACATACATGTTTTCTCTGTGTGCACATAGAATGACACATCACTGCTAACACTTTGGATTATGAGAGTGGAGGGGCATGAAGAGGAGTACTTTCTCTTAGTTTTACTACTTTTTTTAAAGACTTTTTTTAGTTGTTACCTACAGACACAGCAACCATAGCACATTGTTGATCGATCCAGATTTCTGCTGATCATGTTTCCTAAGAGACATGAAATGCCTGATCATTGGCCGTCAAGTGAAGTGCTGTGATTGGAGACATTCTGTACGGATACTTCATATCTAGCAGAAAATGGTATTAACCACCGTCCTACATGTAGAGTGAGCCCTAAAACCAAGTATAACTACTGCCATGTTGTCCGGTATATAAGTCGTCTTACGTAGTAGCACTGCCTCATAGAACAAGGCTTGCTGTGTGTAGGCCCTCAGGAAATACTAGTTGACTATCTAAGTGTAACATGAAAAACATTTAGGGCAAACGATAATAGTATGTTTTTGGAATGAAGAGCATTTGTCTCCATTATTTTATTATTTATTTATTTATAAAATTTTATTGTTATTCTGTTACAGTTGTCCCAGTTTTTCCTCCTTTGCCCGCCTCTGCGTAGCCCACCCCCACTCTAGAGAACTTTGAACTTTTCATTTTCTCCACTGTTAAGGTGTTTGTTCTGAGTCTGTCAGTGTATGTTTATCTGTTTGAGGTGTTCCGGGGCAGGTGGCAATATCACCAGTTATTAAACAGGAGGACTGTTTCAGAGTTTCCTACACTGACGGGCATGTATTCTCAGCAGGCATTTACCTTGTCCCCTCCGTGAAAAGCAAGTAATAATAGTAGTATCTCATAAGATAATTATGATGATTAAATGAGATAATACATGCAAAGGGCTTAGCATAGTACCTAGCGTATAGTAATTGCTTGGTATAGTATTTGACCTATGTTATAATCTGGGTTTTTTGTTTTTTTTTAAATTCGAGAATAGGTTATAGACCACCACATCAATCCATAGGGCAGAAACCTTTGATCATCTATGGAAATAAACTAAACCCTCTTTTTTACAGGGAAGTGTTTGTTTATGTCAGGACTGAGTGAGGTCCAGCTGAGCCATATGGATGATCACACTTTACCGGGGAAGTATGGCATTGGATTTACCAATATGGTGGAAAGGACAACACCGGGAAGCAAGGATCTTTCCAGGTGATTGTATAATGTATTTTTGTAGGTTGGAACCTCAACCATGCTGGTGCCTCACATACTCTAAGAATACCGTATGTGTCTAGTTCAAGCTGAGCTTAACAAACTGTGAATTGATCTTTTATTGAAAGCTATCTGAATTCAGTACGTTATAAATACTGCCATACTTATATTTTGATGACTTTTTAATTTAATTTTAGTAAAGAATTTCGTGAAGGAGGACGTATTCTAGTGCAGAAATTACAGAAATATCAGCCACGAATAGCAGTGTTTAATGGAAAATGTAAGATTTACTTTTAATTTTATTGTTTTTCCTTGGTAACATGATGGGCAATGTAAATATGTTTGTATTTCATTTTAGGTATTTATGAAATTTTTAGTAAAGAAGTTTTTGGAGTAAAGGTTAAGAACTTAGAATTTGGACTTCAACCTCATAAGATCCCAGACACAGAAACTGTAAGTCCTTAAAATTACATTTGTAAATCAGCTAAATACGAATTTTTCTAGCTAATTTGTCTTTTTTTATTCTATCCATTGTAATTTATGCCATCAAAAATACTGTATTTTGTTGAATAATAGCTGTATATCAACTTGAACTAATATTTATAAATTAATTTAGATACTGATATGCTTTTATTTTCTCTTTCTAAAGAAACATTTGTCAGATAAATGCCTTAAATGGTGTTATGTTATTTGGCTAAATACTGAGAGGAGTTGGCTCACATCCTACATTCAAAATATATTTAATGGCATATTCTTATCAAATTCAAGTGAGTTAGCCCTTACTCAGTTGTGAAACAGACATGTAAATGGAGACGTCCTCATTCGTGAAACCCTAATTGCTCCACTGTCGTTTGAGAGCCATGTCGACAGCACAGCCCAGTTGCGGGCACATCTGGCCACCATGACTGGCACCTGGTGCTACTGTCTTACACATAAAGGCATTGTGAAATGACACAGTGGTTTTCTGCAGACATTTGAGTCAAACTGTGCTTCTTAAGCACAGTTTTTAGTTGTGTTTACAACCTAAAAAAAAAATAGCACGCGTGCAGAAACCCGCATGTTATAGACAGCATTTTAAATGACAGAGAAGCCAGCGTGCTGACAGGTATTTGTGGACACCTCAGAATGAAGTTTCTGCCTTTCTTCGGGTTTTAACTTCTCATAAGTATGTGATTGATCAAGTGGGTGGTAGCATTGATCTTTAAATTGAGGCCTAACCTCATCCACATGGGTAAAATTGTACATGTGAGTTCGCTGTTTCCTAAGGAGCAGTGCATTATTGTCCCTTAAATGGCAGGTGAGGCTCAGGTGTGCCAGGCTCCTGTCCATGTGATCGGAGCAGCGCGATAGTAAGTGAACTTAAATCATACCGTGATGGGTAGTTTTAGCTCTTACAATGAGCTGTAAGGACATTTCTTTTGTTTAAATGTTGTTCTTTATCTTAAAATATTCAGTTATTGATAAAGTTAGTGATTCAATTTTGAAACAAAAAATATCTACTTTTTCAAGTTTCAGGATCCCTTTAATTGAAGAATATTCTGAGATTGGGTAATGTGCTGTTACAAAACTTGATAGCATTTGTACCTATATATCAAAGCCTCATAAACAGAATAAAATAACTGAATAATATTTTTTTTTCTGTAATACAGGATAAGGAGACCAATTTTAAAATAGTGAAAATTGTACCTGGAAAGTCCGTAATCTAGCAGTCTCACTTTTTACATATAAAAGTTACGCTCTTGAAGGACAGTTTGTTGCTACCATCCAAATATTTTTCTCCCTACCTATGCCACTTTTAGGAACTTATCCAACAGATACACACACACATATTCTAAATAAAATATGTACAAGGTTTTTCATAGCTGACAATATTAAAAGATTGGAAGCCACTTACATGCCCACAGTTGGACTCTGGTTAAATAAATATGAAAAGCACTACACATTTATAAGAACAGGAGCTGTTTTTATTCTGATAGAGAATTATCTCAAAAGCAAGGTGCAGGATGGAGAAGAGAGCATGTTACCATTTGTGTGTGTTTTAAAAGGGGTGAGGGAGAGTTATTTGTTCAGACGCATTTGATGGGACAGCCGTGGACTACCTCTGCGACTAGCGACCTTGATGGCCCTGGAGGAGTGAATGCCAGGCAGACAGAGACCGCTGGGTGGGAAGGCTGCATTGTAAACTTCCCTGCCTTTTTCTGCCTTTGCAGCTGTGAGCCCCGTATTTACTGCTGAAGAGAAAAGACTATTAATGGATAGATGGACACGGTGGTTAGCCCCCTTGTGTTTTATTTATTAAAATACTTTGTAATGGGTAAATATTACAAATTTGAACTCGAACACAGCTACTTTTGTTGATTTTTCATATATTGTTATGTGGTAAGAATCAAGCTATTAACCCCAAAAAAGACAGATTTCCTAGTCTCCATAGGAGGGGATTCAATAGAATTACAAGATTCCGTAACTATAAAATCTTATGATTCCAGCTCTGCTATGTGATGCCGTCATCCAGTGCAAGATGCGCTCAGTTTCCTCGCGCCCAGGACAAAGTTCATTACTATATTAAGCTGAAAGACTTAAGGGATCAGTTGAAAGGCATTGAACGAAACACAGATGTTCAGGAGGTTCAGTACACGTTTGACCTACAGCTTGCCCAAGGTGTGTTGCCGTTGTCATGCTTGTGTTCATTTCATGTGGACAGACACTGCAGGAAGTCTGCTGGGGATTTAACAGCAGGAGAAGGGAAAGCAGTTATATGTGCAGCCAGAGAGCTCTGATAATGGGTATGAGCCACTGTTAAAATCTCCTTTTATTATGGTCTTCCACCTAATCTGGTGCTGCTACCGATGTTGAGGCTGTAAGAAACACTGTCACCCACCTAAAGTGAAACCTTAAAGGCTCTACTAGTTCTTATGAGTTAAGGTAGTATATGTTATAAAAAGCGAAAAAGATGTATCTCAGTATACATGAACATTCAAGAAAAAGATAGGATCATGATTTCCAAATAAAGCTACTTTTAAAAATTGTTGTACAAACTCTGTTTTAAATCTCTTCACCTTCCTCAACAGAGGATGCAAAGAAGATGGCTGTTAAGGAAGAAAAATATGACCCGGGTTACGAAGCAGCGTATGGTGGTGCTTATGGTGCAAATCCACACAGCAGTGACCCTTGCAGCTTCTCTTCAAACGGGCTACGTATGTTCCTTTCCCTATGTCTGTGCTTTCAAAGACTCGCTTTGTCAGGATTGGGGGCGCGGAGGGAGGGAAGTTCTTTCAAAAAAGTAAATTATAGTAATTCTTAACTAGTAATATAAAAATCTGTATAGTGACTTACAGAGAAAATGTGGTGGTTATTTAATGTCTAACTACACAAACTTACAGCTCATTTTCTTTAAGTCACTAATTTTAATGAGTCATCTTAGTTGTATTTTCCTCCGTGAAAATGAGCATTTATTAGTCCTGTATCTGGAAATAGAACAGAAACTTATCACTGTATTCAAGAAGCTTGCTTAACTATTTTAATAACAGTTGTCCTTTACTGGAGAGTTCAATCTCCTAATTTGGTATTTTAACGCTTTTACACAGAATAAGCTAACCTTTTCCCCCTTCCCTGCAGCAGCCAACAGTGGAGAATCAACTTTCAGTGACATTCCAAATGGGCAGTGGCTGAGCCAGTCGTTTACAGAACATATTCCTTCCATGAATAATCACTGTGGGATGCAAGAACAGGAGGAAGGAAACCAAGCTTAAGAATGGTGCTTCTCAGCCCTGCTGAAATGCTGCAGTTTTAATGCAGTTGTCAAGAAGCAGCCCTCAGTTTGCTAACTGAAGTATTTTATGAGTTTTTCTCTGATGATGTAATCATAGTACAGTTGCGTGGTAGAATCAACTGTATGAACTTAAGTAGTTTGGAAGGAAAATGTAGGGGTTTTTTTTTTAATATGAGTTTTTGTATTTGAATTAACCATCATTCCAGCATTTTATAAAGCCTTTTTCATTTATGAAGAAATTGATTTTCTTTTGGGAGTCACTTTTAATCTGTAATTTTAAAATGCAACAGTCTGAATATTTATATTTGATTATTAACGGTGCATAAATCTAGATACACCATTATCCCTTTTATGCCTAAGAAGGGCATACTCATAATAAGAATTACCCCCGGTAAAGAGGTGGATGTGTAGACTCACGTGAAGCCAAGCCTCAGTGGAGTCGCGCGCGCACTCAGACCTCTTTACCAGCGGTGACCATGTGTGAGAGCTGCTCACTCGTACAAATGTAGAGGGTGGCCTTGCAGCGGCCAGGCTGTCCTGGCCTTACCAGGCAGGGCATTGCACCCTGGCTTTGGCCTCCGCACCCCTGTGTGTACTCCTTCCTCTAAGAGGCAGAAACTCTTCTGCCGGGGTGGTGGGCTCCAGAGAATGCGGCAGGCCTTTTAAATATTGTTACTACATCTGTGTTTTACTTGAGAGACATACATTTGATAGGGAAGGAACTGAATTTCTCTTTCCACATCTACCACCATTCAAATCTTATCCTCCTTGGCTCTAAGGGTGTAACACGGAACGTGATGAAAAATGCACCTTCAGGCTGAGCAACACGACGCTGGAGGTGTTCAATAATCTTATTCAAACTGGTGCTTTATGTACATGAGATGTACTGATATAAGTGATACAGAATATTTTCGCTAGTTAAATCTAATAAGCCAGGAATTTAAAAAATCCTTTCTCTACATCATTGCTCTTTGTTACTGTGGACTAAGTTAACCTTATGGCAAGGTGGTTTTGAAGTAATGTACCTTTGTGGTTTTCTAATGCGTTCTCCAAGGTGCTACAAATATAGTCCAGATGGCTAGGCCTGGCAGATATAAAGCTGGGTATTTGGAAATGCCATTTGCATTTACTCCTGATCACTTATACCCAAGGAGCATGCTTTTCAATATGAAAATGTTTATCGGGTGTTTTTCTTTTTTCCCCTAAAAGATTATATGGTCTGTTTTTTATAATAAGAGAAACAAATCCTTGTTGTGAATCTTAACATGCTCTTTAGCTGTGGCTATGATGGATTTTATTTTCCTTTAGTCTAGATCAAGCTGTGTAAAAGTCATTCATGTTATTTAAATCCTGTACTGTACTGCTGTTTACATGGATGTTTTGTGCAGGTGCTTTGAAGTGCCTTGCATCAGGGATTAGGAACAATTGAATTATTTTTTCATGGGATTATGTAAAGCATGTAACTAGGTATCGCTTTGGTATATAATAATTTGTAGCCTTACAATAGGTTTTTTTTTTTTATTTAAGTGGAGAAAATACCCTTTAAATTATGGACACTCACTGGAGAATAGGTTTGAGGATTTTCCAACTACAACGATGGTGTTTTCATTAAATATGACAGATGAGTAAATGTTGATATATCCTGTACATGACAATGTGAGACTTTTTCATTAAATAATATTGAAAAAGTTTTTAAATTCACTGGAAAGTCTGATGGTTTTTACAATAAAAAGATGTTAAGAATGATTACCCTTAAGTTGCAGGCTTTTCTGTAGCAAGACTTTCTGGTATTCTTTCCTCCTTTATACCTGAGATCAGTTTACCTTCTTTTATATTTACTATATAGAATACTATATACAATGAAAATAATTTAAAAATCTATGACTTTTATTTTTTTCAGACATTCATGTTTTAAATGTAATACAAAAGACAAGATTGGCAACCTGTTTTAAAAAAACAAAAACCTACATACAAAAAATACATTTAGAATTTTTGATAAATTTTTAAGTTTCAGCAAATTGCTGAAACCTAAAGAGGTTTATTTATATCTTTCCAACAATATGTTTCACTCCCATAATCTTGAGTGTAATTACCACTTATCCTTAAGGCAGTAAATCAGTACCTATGTGACCCAAGTTACTATTTGCACACAGTAGTCTTTGTTTTTAATATGGTGGGTCCTATGTATCGAAGACATTGTTCATAAAGAATGATGTTATAGTAGGTTGCAAATGGATGCTTCCACATTTTTATACAGAAAATATTAAAAATTTGTCAAGTTATATCAGCTGCTGTGGTGATGGAGTTTAAATATCCCTGCAGGGTCTGGGACAAACCAGCTTTCCCATAGGTCGTTGTGAACACTAGGGAAGTCCCAAGGTTTATGTCTTCCATTCCAGTGGAGCAGTTTTGCTTCTTGCAGGAAATGCTCCGAATATCTGGTATCTGGACTCCAGCCTGTATTGTGTTCATAGAAGAATAATAGGCTTGTTAGAAAATAAAAATTTGATACATTGAAAATTGAATATAGGTTCATTACCAAAAAATTAAAATGAGACAAATCAAAGGGTATACAATGAAGAGCTTAACACCTGCCCTAAATCTCCAAAATAACCATGATTTGAGTTTCTCATGAAATCCTTTCAGTAATATTCTCCCTGTATGTCAGTATGTATGTATGTATGTGTATATATTCTGTATTTGTATATACGTACACATGCGTATTATATATGTTTTTAAAATTCATTTGTAACTTGCCTTTTAAAATTACTCTTAGGAAACTTTCCACAGTAGTACATGTGAATGTACTGAATTCTTTTTAATGACTCGTAGAATGCATTATATGATTATTTAGCAAGTTCTTTATTAAAGACGGTTAGGTTGTTTCTGACCCTTTACTGAAATACACAATATTACAGTGAACAGTCTTCTATGCATGTCTTGTGCATGTACACAAATACAGGCTGGGGCAAAAGTATGTTGACACTTGTGAGTATGTGAGACATGGAATTTATTCTTGTATTATTTTCTATATGAACAACTGTAAACCTTTTGCTCTAACCTGTAGGATAAAAATATGGTGGAATTGCTAAATTGAAGGGTATGTGCCTTTTAATATTTGATAAAAGGTTACCAAATTGTCCCCAGAAGAACTTGTAGCAGTTTCCCTCCCACCCAGAATTTATAACCCTTTTCTACATTTCCCTGCAATGTGGCAACATTTTCTTTTAAACAGTCTTATTTTTATTGTATGAAATACAACTAAAAATAAGATCCACTTTTTAACAGTTATATGTCCATTTCAATAGTATTCCCCTCATAAGTAATCAGAGACTATGCATTTACCCTAATACCCCCATTGCTCAGAACATTTTTAGAATACCTCTTCTAGAAGTACATTAAGATCGGTGAATGTAAATCTTTTTAAAATATCCTTTAAGGTGTTAAATTTCTTTAAGAAAGAGAATTTGATATTTTTGAAAAACAAAGTCCATTGAGGAAAGGAGGGTGAATATTAATAACTAGGATTATGTCATTCTAGTTTTAACATATGATGTAAGAAAAAGACAAAGGCCAGGCTTCTATTATTCATAAACATGGCTGTGAAGGCAGTTGCAGAAGAGGAGCTCAACGTTTCAGGCTATCATGGCATAAATGGAATAATTATCAACTTCCAAAGAATCTGTATGAAGGAAATGCTCACTTGGGAAAAGCTACCGTTAGGTGAGAAGTCTCACAAAGTAGGGCACCATCGCTCAGCTCTGTCACTGAAGGACTCCAGAGGCTTGCAGCTTTGCTTCCAGCTAAATGTTTCATAACCTTTTAATATTTTAAGCCTCCCTGTTTAGACCCAAACTTAATACCCATAAGCATTACATTGCTCTCTGCTTTCTGAACACTCTAAAACCGAGTGGTTTTTTCAAATGATCACTGTGTAGGTTTACTTTGCAGACCATCCCTGATGACAAAACCCTCGGCACAGAATAGGTTCTGTTCTGCAAAGAAAAATGACTTCTTTCCCTTGGGAGGCTTCTGGCCCTTTCCCCTTGTCAATAAGTCAGGTATTTCGTAAAATGTAATTCTGAAGCTCTGTCCTGAGATCATAAAATGGTCTAACCTTATTGATCTAAGCTCCGCATAGCTGTTCCTACACAACAGTTTTTATAGACATTCTACTATAATGGGATTTTCTGCCCATTCATTACATGGAAATGCTGATATTTGACCTAACAGTGAACTCAACATTAATATAAATCAAATCAGACGGAACAATAGCAACCTTAACTTCCCTGTGTCGCTTTTATGTGCACAGATGCTCAGGAAAATCAAGGAAGATTCTGGTAGTGTGGCAGAAGCGATCTATACCAAACCATTAGGAGGAGACAGGAACCCAGCTTCCACAGTTTCGTCTGCCTTCTAAAAGGTAGAGTGAGGGAAATCCCACCTTACAAGATTGTTCTCAGAATTAGGAATATTGTTCACTTTTTTTGCCCTTAGCTTAGAAATGTAATGGGCACTTGGTAAATAGAAGTCCATAATCCACTGTCTCCAATATTAAAATAATGTCAAAATGTCTGAAAACAAAAGGGTTTTTAATAACTTCTTTGGCAGCAAAACCTAGATTCCACTCAGGGTATTGCATAACATAAGTATGTGCACCACTTCAGTTTTTAAACATTCAAAAACCCTTCTCAATTTCCAAACAGGTCTGGCTCAGTGGTTTTGGCTGATGGGTGGCGGCCGTGTGTTTGTATAAATGTGAACGTCTCTGCAGCCGGCTCTGCGCTAAGCAATTTGCGCGGGTTAGGCAATGGATTGTTTTTATAAAAACTTTATAAGGTTCCATTAGCTTCAGTTACAAATGAAGAAAGCGAAAACAGAGAAGTTGAATAACATGCCCAGGATCCTAGGTAACAGCAGAGTTGGGCTTCCAACCCACACCCTGGAGCCTGCGCTCCTGTAGTGGAGAGTGACTAAGAGACTGCTAAGGGACTCACGCGGTTCAGTCAGTGACTCCCTTTTAAAAGAAACATTGCCAGCTATATAAATGCATCATAAGCCACTCTGCTAATTCATTCGGTTTTGTTCACTGCAGCCACTGAAAGAATGCAATAAACGCATGTGAAAATGTTTTGACAGTGAAAGCCTTAACAAGAGTTGATGTTTATCTTGTACCTACTGTGTACATGCCAAGAAGGAGTCTAACTGCTTTTCATGAATTCCTAGAAACACACCTTTCAGGTAGGGCATTTTTATCAGCTGCATTTGCAGATCCAAGTGCAGAAGGTTAAATCGTGCCCGAGGTAATCTCCAAGGTCACGTGGAGGGACCGAAGTGAGGAAGCTGGTGGTGTAGCACACTTCCCCCGCTTTGGTGCCCACTGGGCCTATAAAGTGCACATTTCTGTTGTTTTTCTAAAGTACTTACCCAGGTGCCTTATGTGCCAGAGGGGGTTGATTGTGGAGTATTTCCCGTGAAACACAATCAGCATCGGGGAGGTGGCCACCCCTCCTCCCAGGGAGCTGCTGTACAGATTTTCCCTAAGAAAAGGAACGGAAAAGCAGCATTTGGCTGGAGCCCCACAGACTCAGATAAAGTAGAATATAATACTTTCAAAAAATGCAAGGCAGCCTCTCTCACTATATACTAAGACTATGGTGTTCTCTAATTTCTTAAATTGTCACACCTACGCAAAATTTTAAGCAGAAAACCATGACCTTCCCTGTACTTCACCTAGTTTCACAGAGTGTTAATATTTTGCCATTTTAATTCTCAGGCTTCTTAATGACACGCGTAGAAGATCAAATTCTGATCCTCCATTCTTTAGAATAAATTTATTTACAAAGTCAAGGTTATGGTGGTATTTTGAAATATCCAGAATAAAAGCAGGAAGTACAGCGACATGATCATAGCGATTATGTTAGCATTAATTTTCTCTGTTTGAAACTTCAATAAGGAAAAACACTCCATTTAAGAAAATTCAACCCTAAGAAACAAAGTTGACTTCATAAAATAATCCTTAAAAACAAATCCATGTAAAAAGGAGAAATTCAACTAAGATCAATGATTTTCCATGGAAGAGGTTCACTAGGATTCTGGGAGGAGATTTAAAGTCATTTCTAAACAATTTCTTAGAAAAATGTATAACAAGGGATTCTGCAGGATCTCACTTCCTCTGACATATCATTTGAGAATAAATTTCATCCACTGGCCCTTTTCTTTCTCTGTGAGAAAGTCTGACCTAAGATGTCTCTAAAATATTTCTAACCCCTGAGCTCTGCATAAAAAAATTAAGTGAATAATTTTGTTCCCAAGCACGAAAGCAATGGTAGACAGGTCTGCACGTACTCCACGTTTTTTTGCATCCACTTCTCCAGTTGCCTGGTGATACGCTGGTGCTTCCATTCCGTCATGTTGGCAACAATCACACCAGGATTGAAAGAGCATGTGCTGGGGCTTATGCCAAGATCTTTAATGGCCTTCTTCCGGTAGTCCAGGTAGCCCATGTACGTGTTCTGCAGAGGAACAGGACAGGCATGCACTTGGCCAGCGAATCTTTTGTTTCTGGAAAATGATCACGTTCTTGAAACCATTGTACGGCGCCTCTGGGTTTCCTCCTGTGTCACTGGCCACTTCCTAGTGTCCTTGGCTGCTTTCCTCTTGTTTCCCCAAATTCTAAAAGCTGAGGGCCCCAAGTCTCACCTGCAGCCCGAGTTCCTTCCTCTAGCACTGACTCTGACAGCCGCATCCAGTCCTGTGGCTCGAAATCCCATCCATGTAGACAGCCCTGACCTCCCCTCTGCATTCCCTGGTCCTGCTACATCTGCCAACTCAGTGCCTCCTTCTGGATGCTTCCTAGGGCAGCTCCACGTATCCCCCAAAGCGTTCCCAATCCCATCCCAAATGTGCTTTCCTGCAGCCTGCCCTATCTCAGTTAGCGGCAACACTGGCCCTCTAATTACTTAGACCAAAAATAAACAACAACAAAAACCAGGGTCATTAGGTCATCCTTGACTCATCTTTCTCACTCACTTTTCATTCATATCTGTCAGCAAATCCTGCTGGTCCCATATTCCCAATATATCTGGAAGCCAAGTACTTCCCACAGCCTCTGCTGCCGCCTTCCTAGTCCGGGCCGTCGTTACCGCTCGCTGGGTTTCTGCAAGTTCTTGCTAACCTGGGCCCCTGCTTCTCCCACCCTTTTCAACCCCACTCCATGTCTATATTATTCATGTGCTCCAAGCCTCTCTAACGCCTTCCCCTCTCTTTCAGCATAAATGCCAGAGTTCCTAAAGTGGCCAGCCCTGCCCTATCCTGTCTGCTCTCCAACTTCCATTTATCTCCCTCTGGCTGCCTCTGCCACCTGAGCGCCTTGCCCTTTAATCCACCAGACACACCTGCCTCAGAACCTTTGCACTTGCTGTTACCTCTTCATGGGATGTTTCTCCCCATTTAGGTGTTCCCTTCATTCTTTCAGGTGTAGGCTCAGCAACAGCTTATCAGTGGAGCCCTTTGTGATCACCCTATTTAAACTACAGCCCCACCTCCACCCTCGACCTCTGAAGTATTGTGTTTTATTTGTCTTCCCGCTAGAATGTAAGCTACACAAAGGCAGGAATTTTAGTTTTATTTCCTGCATTATTAGTACCTAAAACAGCATCAGGCACATGGTAAGCACTCAACACATAATTGAATGAATGTAACACCAGGCAGGACATATTGTTTTACTCACAGAGGCTGCTATAATCTCCCTCAGTGGGATGCTCAAATATGACATGGAAGCAGTAGAAATACTCGAGCACTTTCCCTGTGCCAGGCACTGTTCTAAAAACTGTATATGAATCACCTCATTATTTGCATGCCATAACGTTGCATGGATCAAGTAACTTAATTCCCTCAGTGACTCTCACTCTACTTGACAAATGAAGGAGAAAACAATTGGTTAAGGAACTTGCCCAAGGTCACAAAGCTACTAAGTGATGGAGCCCAGATCTTGACAAAGTCAGGTCTGGCCCCAGCATGTAGGCCTTAAAGTGTGTCACATCTTCTGTGTCACACATTTAAAAATTACTCCCTGGAACTATTTCTAAAGAACAGCATTAGATTCTTAATAGCACCAAGTATTTTAAAACCATTCTTTAGGTTCCAGTATTACATATGGGTACACCTTTTCTCATTTCCACCAGGGTAAGGAGCTCTTTATCCTTGAACAATGTTTTCCTCTACTGAAAGGAACGGGGAGGGGAAGCAATAGTCAAAACTCCAAAAACAGAACCAAAGAGACAGCAAACCTCTTATGGAAAACACCATCTCTGACTTAAGAGCTACCTACATAACAACTTATCATTTCTGGCTCATTTATTACATGCTGAACACGTTGACCACAGGTTATTTCATCACAGCACACAAAAACCTGACAACAGAGATACGACTGTTGCCATGTTTCAGACAAGAAAAGTGGGTCTTGCAGGGGTTGAGCAGCTTGCCCTGGAGTTGCTAGGGAGTGGAGCCGGGTGCAATCAGAAGCCGGGCCCTCGGGCTCTGCCTCCAGCAATCCAGAACGTCTGGGGGGCGCTGGAGTGTAGCTCACGTTCACGTTGAGTTGAGGGAGGGGCAGGGGGAGGGAGTGAGGGGGAGGGCGAAGGTAGGATTTCTGAGACCTTGTGCTCACCTGCAGCCCCACAATTTTGTTCGCATCCTGAAACGAGGGCAAATCACAGTCATCTGAAAAAGCGGCCGCGTGGCCCAGGGCCAAGCTTGTGTCATAGAGTTCTTGGATATCACCTAGATTTAGAAGCGTCAGGAGTTAAGATAGTGCAGCATTTGTTTTAGGGCTGGCTAGAGCGGTAGCACTTAAACTAGTCCCTTGATTTTACTATGAGAGAGAAGTAGGGGATCCCCGATTTCAGGTGGCCTAGCAATTTACTTACTTAGAATAGCTCCGATCAATTTAGAAAGCCACGTGATAAGAAGCTCAGCCAAGCACTGGTCTTTATTTCTATTGTTATGCAGGTGCCACACCAATGTTTATCTTATTTGCATTTAAACACCAACACTTAGCTTACTTTTAAGAATGTTTTGGTGAGACTCTCTCTCCCTACATTTTAGGATACACTAGGATGCAGAGAAAGGAAAGGCTACCAAGCTATTTAACTCAGACTTTGACAACCTGAAAGTGGCTTTCAGAAAGTCAATTGGACTGTTTAGGGAAGTAAGTATCAATCCCTGTTTTCAAAATATTCCAGAATTTACAGCGATACTATACTCCCAACTTGAATAAGCAGTAAAAACTGCTGGGCATCTAGCGATTGGAAAATGAAGATGAAAGACAGTCATTCTATTTATCATCTGCTGTGTTTCCAAGTGGTCTTGGCAGTCAGCTAGCATACCTTGTACAATGACATCATCGTCCAGATAGATGACTTTCTCATGTTGGTGGATAAGCAGAGGAAGGTAAAATCGAACGAAGTTCAGCTGTTAAAACAAAGGAAGCCACGCTGGAGAAGAGGCACATTGCTCAGTGTCTTCCACAGGTGCTGGAGGATTGGCTTTGACCGTGGCCTTGGCTCAGCCCCAGGCTTGGAGCAGATAAAACTGGCTACAAAGATGCCTCGCCCAAGTTTCTGGCGCTGACTTCTCTGGGCCCTGGGGCTGAAACCAGCACTGGCCCTAGATCCAATCTCCCGCTGCTCAGACTGTCGCTACTTTGATCTCTGCGAAGTATAGCAGTGTCAGTGACAGAGGCTTCCTCGTTACTCTCTGAGGCCACGAGCTGCCTGTCTTCCTCTACACTCGGAGATTTGACTACTGTTAAGTAAATCATCCTTACACACACACACAGGCATCATTCCCAACAATAAAATCAACCTCTTAGCACCTTGAACCAGAAAAAAGTCAGAGGCATTGGCTGAAGGTAAGAGTTCTATTCACCATGATGTGGCTTATTCCAAAATCCCAGCTCTGCACACACTCCAATAATAAATATCTGGAATTGGGGGAAGGTGATGTCATCAGACAGAGGGCTTAAAATACAGTACATTTTCAAGGATGGATTTAAGTAATATGTATATGCAGAAGGTGGCTACATTTTTTGTAAATCTGCCATCAACACTCTTAATGCAGAAGAGAGTTGGTCTCTTTTGTAAGAACTCTTGCAGTAAAATACCTTAAGATTCCAAAGCTTGGAAAAGAGTTGGTGTCTTCTGAAAAATATTATCTTAGTTGATACTAGGAAGTACATAATCCATCATGCTACCGGTTTTCCTTAGCTGCTGGGATGCTCCATGCTAAACGTTACACCCAATCACAGCACACACCAACAGCCTATGGGGTTGGGAATGTTTTTCTCCTGGCCTCACTACTTGGCCTCTACACACCTAAATGCTTCCTACGTTTTCTCATGCTTCATTTCTTCTTTAATAACTCCATTATGTTTACACAAACCATCTTAAATCCTTTCTGGAACAGGTGGCTTAAAAATGACAAATAAGCAGAGCTTGGTAGAAATCTAACAACTGTGAAGCTGCAAACCTATTCCATCTGCATCCCAGTGGCTAGAACTCCATACTGAACAATGGTGCTCTCCAAGGACCATCCCCAGTACGTGCGTGGTCCTACTCACAGGCTGGAGCAACTCGGGCCTCGATGAGTCTGGTCTGATCTTCCCCTTGAGGACCATAGGATTGAACTCCACGACTCTAAAGTTTATTTCTCTCAGTTTAGAATGCTCGATCCATTTTCTAAAGAGACGACAAAACAAAACAAAACAAAACAAAACAAGCCCTCTAGTACACATTTCTCACCTTTCTTCAATTTGCCTATTGCTTCAGTTTGTTGTCTCCTTCGAAAGTTAAAAATAAAATGTGTGTAATCTTAGTAGAGTTTAGTCTATAAATCCAGATTTTTTCCCCCCATCTGGTCTGGTTTAAATCTTTCCTTTTTTTTTTTCTTTCATTATTCATATAACTTTTTCTGCAAAGGAAATGAAACAAAATAGTAATAACCAAATATCTCCCCAGATCCACATAATCTCCACAGGAAACTGGAAAAACATAAAGTGTTTTCCCTTTCTTATAAAGCAGCATCTGTAGTTGCTGACACCATCTTTGCCACGTGTTAACAACTCTGTAGTGTTATGAAGCAGGACATTCTCAACCTCATATGGTGACCGAAGTCACTTTTCCCCTGCTTTTTTGACTCCAAGGACGAGTTGAATTGATCTGTGTTTCTTTGTCTTTGTCTCTCAGTCTTCCTCATTCCTACTCATTCCCTGTCTTCTCCCCTTACATTTTCTCAGTCTTACAGAACTTCTGTCTTTTCATCTAATTCATAAGTTTCTTAGAAGAAATAATCTCAAAATAAAATGTCCAATTCTTAAACCACATACAGTGGCATTTGTTGACTGAAAATTGACAAAAGAATTAAATCTTTCCAACAAAACTCCAGTCTGCAAAATTTGAACCATAAAAATTAGCTATTTAACCCTGACCCAGGTGCCTCGGCTGGTTGTCATCCTGCAAAATGAGATGTCGCGAGTTCGACTCCCAGTCAGAACACATGCCTGAGTTGTGGGTTTGGTCCCTGGTCGGAGAGTGTACGAGAGGGAACCCAATCGATGTTTCTCTTTCACGTTGTTGTTTCTCTCCCTCTTTCGTCCTCCCTTCCCCTCTCTCTAAAAATAAATAAATAAAATCCTTTTAAAAAATCAGCCATTTACACAATGTTTTATGTCAATTCTGTCTCAGTAAAGCTGAGGGTAGAAGGCAGTCATGTCAGTAACAAAAAGATGACCCAACAGAAAAACTGGCAAAAGCTCAAACATGCATATCCGAACAGCCAAGAAATGTGTGGAAAAAGTGCTCAACCTCAGTAGAAATACAGGAACCTCAAATGAAAACCACAATGAGATAGTGCTGGTCACTCACCAGAATGACAAAGTCAAAAAGACTGTCCATACCAAGTGCTGGCGTGGTGGCTGTTATGTGAGTGTGCTGATTACATGTTTTTGATGATTCACTAAGCCGTGCACAGGATTAATACAATTTTCTGTATTTGTGTCATACTTCAATGAAAATAGTTTTAAAGATATTTTAAAATAAGGGGTGGTGAACTGGGAATCATTCCCTGCTTAAGTGTCATATAATCCTGAAGCTCATGACTTTTCTTCAAGTACAAATCCTTAATCAGAACATGTGGCATATGCCACTCTTGTGGGGTTGGTCATCTGGTTTTTATGCCCACAGATAACTAAGGGGAAGACTAAATGAACAATCTATGACGATAAGTGATAAGAAGAGTAACAAATGAGACAGAAAAACTAGAAAGCATATATAAGCCCACAAAACCCACAGCAGCCAAAGACCATTTAGATTAGGAGCAAATGTCTTACATATCTCAGCACATATCTCCTAATGGTGCTGTTACTCGAAAATATAATTATAAAAGTCATGTATAAATACGTTCTCCTTACAACTGATAGAAATAACACTTGAAATACCCTGAACTTCCCTTCATCACTGCTTTTCCCAGATCTTCTACCCTCCCCAGAGATAGTTACTGTTAACGGCTAGAGAGCTTTTCCTCACAGAAATATATTATTATACATGTACATGTACACATTTATAGTTTGGGGGTTTTGATTTTCATTACTATAGGCTGAATGTTTCTGCCACCTTAAATTCACATGTTGAAACCTAATCCCTAATGTGACAGTATTTGGAGGTGGGGCCATTAGGGGGTGATTAGGTCACAAAGGTGGAGCCCTCAAATATGGGATTAGTCTCCTTATAAAAGACACCCCAGTGAACCTCCTCGTCCCTTACATCATGTGAGGACACAGCAAGAAGGCCGTCATCTGTAAACAGAAAGTGGGCCCTCACCAGGCACAGAATCTGCTGGTATTTAGATCTTAAGCTTCTCAGCCTCAAGAACTGTGAAGAACAAAATTCTATTGTTTATAAGCCGCGCAGTCTGTGGTTTTCTGTTAAAGCAGCCGAAACAGATTAAGACATTTATAAAGTGGATCACACTTTGTAAGGTGCACTGCAACTTGCATTTTCCACTTAACAGTCTGCCTTGGGGATCTTCTGTGTAGGCGGGCACAGAGTGCCTTCTTTCTTTTTTTCTTTTTCTTTTTTAAGATAGTATTTATTTACTTTTAGAGAGAGGGGAAGGGAGGGAGAAAGAGGGAGAGAAACATCAGTGTGCGAGAGATAAATCAATCAGTTGTCTCTCACATGCCCACAACTGGGGACCTGGCCCTTAACCCAGGCGTGTGCCCTGACCGGGAATCCAACCTTTTGGTTCTCAGGCCGGCACTCCATCCACCGACCCACACCAGTTAGGGTGCCTTCTTTCTTTTTTAATAGCTGGATCATATTCCACAGTTCATTTAAGTATTCTTCCACTGATGGACATTTAAGCACTTAGCAATTTTTTACTGTTTTCCATAATGCTGCAATTAGCATAGTGGTACATATATTTTGGTATTATGTACTAGAATTTCTGTAGCAAAGATTCCTGAGCAGAGGAAATGGTATGGTGGGTCAAATTATATATGCATATAACATTTTAATAGAGATTGCTACATTGCCCTCTCAAAATGCTTTGCCAGTTTACGATGAACGAGCATGTTCATTTTCCTGCACTAGATATTGTTGTCCTATTTAATTTTTACTATCCTGATGAGTGAAAAATCACCTGTCTTGGTTGTTTGAATTTGAATTTTCCCATTGGTAACATGCAACATCTTTTTATGTTTGTTTATTGTATTTTTTTCTTCTGTGAATTGTCCATTTGCATTTTATGTTCATTTTTTTAATTAGCTGCTTGCATGTTTAAAAATTATTTGTATGAATGCTTTACATATTTTGGACAGTAACTGTTTGTCTATGATACATGCTGAAAATATTTTGTCTAATCTATTGTGTGATTAATTTCACTTTTTGTGGTGTTTTTTAAAAGCATTTAAAAGTTTGTAATTGTTACGCAGTCAAATCTGTCAGTTTTTCCCATATGATTTTTCGGCTCAGCGAGTCACTCTTCATACCAGAATTATACAATTATCCCTCATTTTCAAAATGCATTTAAAATTTGGTTTTCTGTCTATTTCTTCTCAATCCAACTCCAGTTTTTTTTAGTGCAGCAAGTGATATGAAAGATACCACTTTGAAGTTCAAAAATTATAATTAGTGATGATTCTGAGCCATATTAAAATGATTATATTACATTAATAGTCTTTTAGGTTAAGAAAGCAGAGAAAAGAGAAACCATTTTGGAGAGAAAGGCTCTCATATAAGCTTAAATATTGGAGTTCCTTAATTCATTAGACAATCCAGTTCTGCAGAATGATGCATTGCCCTACCAGATTAGTGAGGTTTTGCTGAACATTTCTTAGTGAGACAACACATTTGTCAGGTCACTAAGTAAACTTCAGGCCTAAATTTGAATGACATTTCTCAAACAAACAAACAAACAAACAAAAGGAGGAAATCCATTAAGAAAAAAGAAACAAGATCAAAAGAAAGTAGAAAACTCCAAAGTCTCTAGTACACAACTTACCGTATTCGAGACAGATTGTTCCGGAGCCCAACTACATAGAACAAAATGTTGGCGTCAGTGTTGCTGTAGATGCTATTGATGGCAGCCATTGTAGCGCCCATTCTCCCTGCTGCTGCACAAATCACTACAGGGATCTCATCCTCCAGTTCTTCAGTAGTCTCAGAGTCATCATCTGGAAACATTAAAATCAGTGTCTTGGAACATGAAAGAATTTCACAGTTGAATCAGTTAAACTTGCCTTCCACACTCCATGGGAAGATAGCATAATGTGGAACAGGCTGCTGATTGTTCTCCAATAGCCAGTATTTCCTTCTTCCCTTAGAAATAAAATGTTGGAATTCTAGCTGGAACATAGCCAACCACTAATTATATTTTTCCAGACTCCCTTGCAGCTTTATGTGGTCAAGTTCTAACCAATGTAATGTTAATGCAACTAATATGTGCAACTACTGGGTTTGCTTTTATAAGGAATTTGCTTACCCTCCCTTTGTCCTTTCCCCCTTCCCCTTGGCTGGAATGTTGACATGACAGCAGCTACCTTGGACCATGAGATAGAAGCTGCCTGTTGAGAACACCAAACTGTAAGGTAGAAGGAATCTTGCTCTAGGTTAGAGGTGTCCCACCTTTGGCATCTCTGGACCACACTGGAAGTAGAAGAGTTGTCTTGGGTCACAGGGTAAATACACAAACACTAATGAAAACTGATAACCAAAGCAAGTAAGAGAATTTACTGTTTTGTGTTGGGCTACATTCATAGCCATCCTGGGCCACATGTGGTCCATGGGCCATGAGTTGAACACCCTTTCTCTAGATGACTGTGGAACTGACATATCAGACTTTCTCTTGAGAAAGAAAATAAACTTCTATTTTGCTTGAGTCACTACTTTTTTGGAGCTCTCTTACAGAAGTCAACTGGATAACCTAACACATACACACAGTTGAGTAATATGTGAAGAACTGAAAAGCCTCATTTGATTAAACAATTCCTCAACTTTTCAACTTTTCCCTAAATTGGAATATTTACCTCACCTATGCTGCTATAGAATATACTCCTTGTGATTTTCCTTCCCTTATCCACGTTCTAGTCAAGTGTCTCAAAAGCTGACCAGAAGAGAAAGGAGGTAGAGGAAAGCATGACTAATATACAAGATCAATAAGTGATTATTGTTTTGAGCCTTGACTATCATACAAAATACTGATAACACATCCATGTATTATTTTAAAACAAAAATGAAATCATACTTTTCTTAATCTTCTGCAAATTTCTTTTTCCACTCAACATACCATGGACATCTTTCTATGTCAACATGATGTTCTTTTGAATGGTATTTCATAATGCTGATTTTATTTTAATGCTCAGTGGGATAAAAATTGTGACTTTGGATCCATTCGTGTGGTTCAAACACTGTATCAATATATGAGTATAGCTGATTAGTCAGGATGTGCATTTCCTCAAAGCTGTTTTAACAACTGCTATAAAAGCTACTCATATCGTTCCATGGAGAAAGAAGTTTGCAGTGGGCTCAGCTGATTGAATGAGTTGGTTTATGGTCAGGGAGTGAAATGTGAGGAATAAAGAGCTCAAAGTTCTGATGGCATTTGACCTTGTGTGACTTCAATTCCCTTCTCTTCTCTCTGTCTCTGTCTGTCTCTCTTTTTCTCTCTCTCTTTCCCTCTGTCTCTTAAAACAGTTTTAGTGAGGCATAATTTAGATACTAAATTGCCTATAACCTCTAAAATTCATATGTTTAAGCCCAGACTTGTGACAGTATTTGGATGCAGTGCCTTTAAAGAGGCAATTATGGCAGAGGTGGGGGATGGTGCCTAATCCAATATGACTGGTGTTCTTGTAAGAAGAGAGATACCAGGGACTCATGCACAGAGAAATGGTCATGTGAGGACACATCAAGAAGACAGCCACCTGCAAGCCAAGCAGAGAGGTGTAAAGACACACCAACCCTGCTGGGACCTGCACCTTGGACTTCTAGCCTCCTGAATAGTGAGAAAATAAATATTCATTGCTTGAGTCACCTCGTCTGTGGTACTTTGTCATGGCAGCCCTACGAAACCAATACAGGTTTCTTTGTATTTACTTATTACAAGTGTGCAGTTCAATGATTTTTTTGGTAAATGTGTAGAGTTGTGCAACAATCACCACAATCCAATTTTAGAAGATTTCCATCACCTCCCTTGAGGCAGTCTGCAGTCAACACGCCGTACTCCTAGCCCGAGGCAACCACTGCTCTCTGTCTCTGTAGATTTGCTTTTTCTAGAAAGTTTGTATAAGTGGAATCATACGATATGTGGTATTTTGGGTCTGGCTTCTTTCATTTAGTGTAACGTTTGTGAGGTTTATCCACGTTGCAGTATGCGTTAGTAGTTTGTTCCTTTTTATTGTTGAAAAGGCATTCCATTATATGTCTTGACTGCATTTTGTTCATTTCTTCATGAGTTGATATGCACGTGGATTGGTTCTGGTTTGGGGCTTCTGTGAATAAAGCCCCATAAACATTTGCCTACATGTCTGTGTAGAAATACTTTCTTTCAAGATGGTCCTGATGCTTATTTAAACAAGATTATAAATATTCTTAATTGTCTTTTATGAATTTTTATATTAAGAAAAAAGTCAGCTTTGTGGGAGTGGGAACAGGATTTTATTCATTGTTGTGTATCCAGCACCTAAGTATCTGGCTGTAGAAAAAATTGTTGAATGAATGTATGTAAAACACCAAAATAGAAACTCTATTTGTCTTTGGTTGATATAGCTACAGTTAATATTTTTCTTTTCTGTAATTTCCTTAATTGAGTGTATTTGCTTAACTAACATAAAAAGTAAATGAGTTAAAAATATAATGAACACAGCAGTGCTTCTTAATTTGTGTGTGAATTGACTCTGTGTATTTTGTGGTTGTGAAGATGGCCCTCTCACACCATTCACCCTAGAGGAGGGAGAATGGGCTGCTCAAGGCAGCTGGAAGAGGATAGAGGGTCAAGCAGGATCTTTGTTTAAGTTGACAGTTATGAGGCTGTTTGTGCGCCGATGAGAATGAATCCGCAAGGAGAAGGGAGAGGAGGGAATTTTCATAAGCAAAACTGTTGAAACTCAAAGAGATGAACGTGGAGTGGGCCACTCAACGTATGATCCAAGAGCTAACAGTGTCAGCATCAACTGGGAGGTCGTTTGGAAATGCGGGTTCTCAGGCTCTGTCCTTTGTCTACTGATTCAAAACCTCTCCAGATGGGGCCCAAGCCCTCCATGCGACCCTAGGACACAGCTGAAAAGTCGGCCTTGAGTGGATGGTCTTCAAGCAGGTCCTTGGAAGCTGACCAATTGTTTCTCTCTGAACCCAGCTACTGAAAGGACTCCAAGGAACATATTTAAACCAAGTTTCTAGGTCTCCCATCTTGATGGATTACCTCTTCATTTTTAAAAAAGATTATATTTTAACTGTGGTAAAACACATTTACTACAAAATTTACCATCTTAACCATTCTTAAGTGCACAGTTCTGTGGTATTAAATATATTCACATTGTTGTCCAACCATCTCCGCCATCTATCCCCATAACTCTTTCCATCTTGCAAAGTTGACACTCTACCCATTAAACAATGACTCCCCATCCCCTCAGCCCCTGACAACCACCATTATATTTCTGTCTTTATGGCTGCAATGGTCTAAGTCCCTCACATAAGAGGAATCGCATACTATTTGGCTTTTTGTGCCTGGTTTATTTCATTTAGCATACCTGTTTCACTCTTGAGCACAGTCCCCTTATGAACTTTCTTATACAGAATCCCACAGAGTGTCACAATCAGGAGGAACAGCAACACCTGATTAACTGAAATTTAAAAAAGAAACACATTCAAGTTTTATCTATCCAGCTGAAGCTGAGGGAGAGTTGAGAACAGCCGTGTACGGAGCTGCCTGACATGCACAGGAGTGGTGTCCAGGGACTGCCTTTAAGCAGGGGCATGCGCAGTGAAGAGCTCACTGGCAATACTGTTGCTACTCAAGGATACACACACGTTGCTTAAGAACGATCCAGGGAAAAACCCAGGTAGTCAGAGGCTGCCACCTGTATGACTACCTGATGCTGTCTTTTCTGTGCATGAACGTTGTTTCAAATAATAGCCAACATTTCTATAACACTTATGAGGAGTCAGTACTTATTTTGAGTACTTATTTTGAGTTCTTGGCCATGAGAACCCAGCTGCTTCTCAGTTAATTCAATCACTGGTCAAGGATGACATCCATAAAATTCTCACCCTCGCTATGAGGTGGGAAGACACCCTCCAGGTCTTGCAGTTCTAAGCCTCCAGGACAGTGACACCTGCCCCTGGGATCTATTGAGAAGGGGAGTGATGTAGGACAGTGTGGTCATAAGTATGAAGCACGTACCACTGGTCATACCAGGTATGATTTAGGTTTGTGTTCACAGCAGTAAGTGACATTAAATCGCAGCATGAGAAATCAGTCCTAATTTCATATGCTGGCAGGTAACAAAAGCTACCCAAGAATTGAATAACACTGTTTTAATCACATAAAGTTATACAGTCACCTTCTTTTTATGGCAGGAGATAACTTATTCTGTTTACAATAAGGATATAAGCTTTCTATTATAAAGGATACTTATACTTTTTAAAATGAGTCAATTTAAAGAAAATAGTCATGCATAGCACAGAAGGAACACAAAAGATAAAAAATGGGGAAGGTGCTACATTGGCATACGTGGTATACAAATGCCTGCATTTGGGAAGACATTGGTAGAAGGGGAAGGGTTGGGATTTGAAGTCAAACTCACATCTCATTTCTACTGCTTCCTAGATGTGTGGCCTTGCGCAGGTTACTTAACCGCTCTCGGCCTCAGTTTGCTCATCTGCTAAATGGGGATTGTAATAATAATCATTACCTCACAGGGAGATTTTGAGAGTTAGCGAAGGCAATGTTAACCCAATAAAGATTTTACAGTTGTTGTGTATTATTATTTTTGCGCCTCGAGATTTTTACTTTCCTTTGGCCTCATCCTACCCTATTTTCTGGCCCCGAGGTTTTTGCCTTCACATCTGTAAAACTTGTGGAAGGAAAGAGTTGAACGGTACCCAAAGATGCCTTCTGGCGCTACATCCTGAGGCTCCGTGGTCCCACCTTGCTGACACCCAGCTCCTCCCTGCCTCTGCGTTGTCAGATCCAGCCAGGGACAACCAGACGCTGCCCAGTTTAAAGCAAAATGAGAGAGGAGTAGAAGGGACAAAGTTCTATAGTTTAGAAATACATCTAATTAACATTCACCTGTCACAGCCAGTACGAGCAAGTGGCCCAATGTCGCTACCATCTGACCCTTTCAACCATGGCTGCTGCTGCCGATGTGAGGTTGACAGATAAAATCCTTTTTTATAGTGTAAGTATGTCCCGTGCAATATTTGGGATATACTTATACTAAAAATTATTCATAGTTTATCTGAAGTTCAACTCCATCTAGGTAACTTGTTTTTATATCTTCGACATCAGGCAATTGTACCCGGAGGATAAAAGCAACACAACTGGGTTATAATATTTCCCCCAGATTCACAAACTACTGGATCTAAGAACAGGGGCAAATCTGGGTTTGGATGGGGTTTGGGATTATATAATTTGAGGTAACTCTTTAAGAATATGAATACAAAATTACAAATGCTAAATTAGGTGGGAACATAAATATTTACTTAGATAAAAAATAAATAACATTTGCAAATTTTATAGAAACATATGACCCCTTTCATGATAAGTTCACCTTTGACCAGAATACATAACAATTTTCTGCGGGAAATGATGGTGCCAAGAATCGCCTCTGAGGAAGCTAGCCATGATAAAGAAAGCAGATTTCAGGGGTAAAAAAAGGTCAAGAGCCAGCACCCCAACAGCCCTCTAAAATATCTTTTAATCATGATTTTCAAAAGTTGTAATCTTACTTTTTCGTAACAAAGCCATGTATGTTCACGTGGATAAAAACGGTGACCTGTAGATTAAAGAATAAAATTTTGTTTAAAACAGAATCAACCCAAAAGTCATTATCCAATTCTTAAAGATTATATCTTTGACCATCTGCTACGTGACAAATTGTGCAATAGATTTTTACTGTTCTGAACCTAGAATTTTGGGAACTAAGTATTTCTTGAATGAGTAGCTCACCTCTTCAATTGATTTCTCTGGCTGTACAAACTGTACAGAGGGCCCCCGAAAGGTAATCTTTTGTCTTCAGGGGTTTTTTGCCTTCTTCAAAAAAGAGCCCTGTCAGCCCTCTGGGTTAGCAGTTCAGATGGCACTCACTAACTGAAAGAAGTGTCACACGAGGTCTCTTGATGTCAAATATCGACCCCATACTTTTATTTCTGCTATCATAATTTCAGTCTTTTGAGAAGGAAGCTTTTATATCATCAGGAAACCCTTGTGGATACAGAACCATCCCTGAGAGGGGCACGCCTACATTCAATTCAGTCATTCACGCATTCAGTGTTTATTGAGATATTAACAAAAGCCCAGCACTGTGCCACCTACTGGGGATGCACCAATGAACAAATCTGTCCCAGTTTCTATCATCACAGAGCTTTCAGCCCAATGGGGAAAACAGATGCTAAGATGTAACCCATAAAATAACTAGGTTACGGTCAGTGCTATGAAAAAAACAACAGACGTGCTGGGATAAAAATCAACAGAGCTGGGGAATGCACCAGGAAGAGAAATCAGGAAAAGCCTCATTGAGGAGTTGGCATTTGATCAGAAGAAAGGGCAGGAGCCAGTCAAGTGGAAAGAATGCAGGAGAGCATCCCAGGCAAAGGGAAGAGCAAACGCAAAGGCCCTATGGTTGAAAGAGCTCTGAGTATTCTAAATACTGCAAGAAGGTCAATGTGACTAGAACATAATAGACTAAGGGAAGTCCTGGCCAGAAGAAGCTAGAGACAAACTGTGGTGTCTATAAAGGAGTTTGGATCAACAGAGATGGGGGGGCGGGCGGTGCATCAGGAAGAGAAATCAGGAAAAGACTGATTTGATCACAAGGAAGGCACCTTCAGTGGAAAGCTGGAGACACGCCAGAGCCAGGTTTGGGATAAGGTTTGCCAGTTTTGCATTGCTGCACGCTGTCGGAAGTAATTAAAATGCCCACTTTTTCGCAAATTCGTAGAGACCAATGTTCTAAAGCCCTCTGTCTCTAAATCGAAGATTAGAGAAAAAAAAAAAGGGGGCCAGGACACAAAACGAAAGGAGACTCTTCAGCTGGTATTCTTACAGGGCTTATGTTGAACGTATTTAATAATCAGTACAGCTCTCGGCACAGATCAATTAAAATGAGCATGACGGGTGTCCCACTGGTGTCTTCTGACGAGTAAACAGCAGCTTGGGCGCCTACGGCTGTTGAATCATATGAACGTATTATATATTCACACAAATAATCAAATCATTAAACACAGGCGATCCGAAACACACAGACACACGCGCGCGCACACACGATGCGTTACATTCTGATGAGCAATGAGGGTGGTTGTCACGCCATCAACCATTCTCATATTCTACCACATCAACTTTTTACTTTTTACACAGAGCCCTTGGCTTGCATGAGACAAAGTCAGGGTGAATTCCAAGAGGCCTATCAACTAAATAGGATCCAGGAACAACTTTTAACAGAGGAGGCCAACTGCTTCTTCAGCAAATACAGAACTGGCCTCATGAGAACTATTTTTCTGCCAAGATATTTGATACATGTTGACAAGGTAACTTCTCTGTGGTCTCCCAAATTTCCAGAAACTTTCTGTTGTGAACTGTAATTAGAAAGTGTGCTCCACGTAGGGAAACACAAAAGGTACTGTATAATAACTATTCAGCGTACCTGCTTCTTTTTTTTAAACAAAAAAAGTAGGCTTCCTTCCTGTGACACATGTCATTTATTAAAGAGATACTATTAGGTCAGCTTCAAAATCTGACTTGTTGATTTTTAAATGTTCACATATTTACATACAGTAGAATTCACTTTCTTGATTGTACTGTTCTACGAATTTTAACATGTGAGTAAATTCTTGTAATAATTACAACAAATGGGAAAAGGAACAGCTCCAACACTCCCGAAGAACTTCCCCGTGCTGCCCTTTTGTGGGCAGACACGAGACCCCGGATGGATCTGTTCTCTGCCCCTTTGGCTTGCAGTTTCCAGAACGTCATATAAACTGGGATCACAGAGTATGTAATCTTTTGAGACTCTCTTCTTTCAGTTGGTATGATGCATTTGGGATTTAGCCTTGCTTTAGAGTGTATCAATAATTTTTCTTTGTTATTGTTGAATAGTATTCCATTGTACAGATGTACCACAATTTATTTGTGTATTTATCCATTGAAGAACACCTGAGCTGTTTCTAGTGTCTTCTTATTGTGAGTATATCTTCTGCAAACAATTGTTTATAGGTTTTTGTGCGATTTTAAGTTTTCACATCTCTATGGTAAATATCTAGACATAAGACTGCCGGGTCATTTGATAGATGTGTGTTTAACTTTATAAGAAACTGCCGGTCTGTTTTCTCGAGTGGCTGTATTATTTAGCATTCCTACCAGCAATGTAAAAGAACATCTACTCTGCATTCTTGATATTATCAGTGTTTTTCACTTTGCTTGTTCTAATTGACCTATTTTACTGGTTTTAATTTGCACTTATCTAATCAATGCTGATGTTAAGTATCTTTTTAATGTGTTTACTTGTCATCTGTATACAGTTGTAATGGTTAATCTTATATAGCAACTTGACTGAGCCAAGGGGTACCCAAACATTTAGTCAAACATTATTCTGGGTGTTTCTGTGAGGGTATTTTGATGGGATTAACAGTAAATGGGAGGTGTAAGCCGTCTCTGATATGGGTGGGCCCCATCCAACCAGTTGAAGTTCTGAATAAAACAAAAAGACTGGCCTTCCCCTGAGTAACAGTAAATTTCTCCATCTTGATTGTCTTCAAACTGGGCCATTGTCTCTTTCCTGCCTTCAGACTCAAAATAATAGATGTGCTTGTCCTGGGTCTCTAGCCTAACAGCCATCAGACTGGATCTACACCATTGCTTTCTCTGGCGAGGCCTTCAGACTTGAGTTGGAACTATGCTATTGCCTCTTAAGTCTCCAGTTTGCCCGCTCACCTTGCAGATCTTGGGTCTTGCTGTTCTCCAAAATCACATGAGCCAATTCCTTGCAAGACATCTCTTATCTATCCATATGCATCCTATTGGTTCTGTTTCTCTGGAGAACCCTGACTAATACAATGGTGAAGTATCTGTTTAAATCTTTTGCCTATTTTTTGAGTCATTGTTTTCTTATTCTTGAGTTCTGAGAATTCTTTACATATCCTGGATACAAGTCCTTTGTTGGATATGTGATTTGCTAATACTTTTCCCCAACATGTGACTTGTCTTCTCATTCTTTTAACAATGACTTTCGCAGAACAGAAGTTTTTAATTTTGATGACGTCAAATTCATCAACTTTTCTTTATGAATCATGCATTTGTTATTATATATAAGGATTTTGGCCTAACTCAAAGTCATGATGAGTTTCTTCTATATTTTCTTCTAAGAGTTTTGTGGTTTTATATTTTACATTTATATTCCAAGTCAATTTTTGTATATGGCATGAAGTATAGGTTAAAGTTTGTTTTTTAGCATATAAATATCTAGTTGTTCCAGGACCACATATTAGGAAGATTGTCCTTTCCACTGAATTGATTTTTTTTTTAAATATTTTATTCCAATGTCAGGGTGTCCAGAAGGAGACTTGAGGTCTGTCAAGGAGCTTGAATATTTTCCAAAGAAGGGAATGAGGGCTCAACACAGATTTTGGATTCCCTATTATACTTTATACAATAAGGATTTTAGATCTGGTTAGCCATCGGTGGCTAAAAGTGAGTTATATTATCAAATAAAGATTTAACAATGTGATCAAAATAGCACCAGGCATAAGGAGTCAAAAAAAAAAAAAAAAAAGGGTTGGTTCATCTTGAAGTCAAAACCAAATATGTCCCCAAATTCAAATCCTATCTTTTCAAAATATTCTGGAGTATTTTATTTGTGCCCTGGAATCCAGAGAGCTAGCAAACTCTTCAAAACAGAGCTGTTACAAGTCTGCTGCCTGGTGTCCCAGTTCACAGCTTACCTCTGCTTATCACAACACCTCACATATTCATTAGAAGCAGCAGTGGGAATTAAGAGAAGCATGGGAGAGCTGGGCAATTTTGATGAAAAAAATGAAGTTAACCGTTAGAAAAGAATTTTAGATTATAAAATTCATTTTAGTTTAGAAATCTAAAATTAAATTTTGTCACATTTCTATGTTCATTCCCTTCTTTGTGGCATTTTGCCAATCACCCCAGGAGCTGGAAACTGACTTCCTTTGTGTTAGGGGGAAAAAAAAGTTAATTTGCTATAAACAACAATTTGTTGTGAAAGCTCAAAGTTTATTTCAAATTAAGTTGATTCTTCTTAATTATGGTCTTTCAAAGGGACTTCTGAACTTGATGTTTGACTGGAGGCAGCAGTCAGCAAACAGGGAATAATACCATTTTGAAATTAGCAACATGACAGAGACAGCCTGTGGGACAATCAAAACAGGCGGGGTGTCACAGGACCCCCCGAGTTTCTTCCTGAACCAAAGTGTTGTGAGAGAACTTGTTGGAAGTGATCTTCAACAGGGATTTGATTCAAGTCTTTAATTCACTGTAAACAACCAGCTACAATGTCCCTTTTATTTTCCTGGGACAGAGACTGGATGCCCAGAGCGATTTGCAGTGACCCTTGTCCTCTTCCCCTCTTGCACCTGGGAAAGAATTGAGCCAGAACAGCACTTCATTTAGGATTCTTCTGAGATTTCAGGTACGTTTTATCTATGTATGATTCTAAATGATGGGCATTCAGCTAACTTCTTGAGACAAGCCTAGAACAGTCTTTGGCCACAGGACACCCATTCCCC